CGTCCGAATCTTCCGATTGTATTTTTCCACTTTAGAACCAATATCATCGTTATAACGTGGTAACACACCACGTGCCTCTGCAGCAAATGGGGCTGCAGGAAGAGTTAAAGCGGCAGCAGACGAAACATCTTATACCGCAAGAGGCTAGGCATCGTCAAACGCAGTTGCGTTTTTATGCGCAGCTGCCTTCTTAAAAGCTTTTGCCGCGCGTCGCATGAACTTGATAACCATGCTATGAAGATCTAGTAATGAGTGGACCAGACCACGACAAGTGCTCCCAGTCCCAGATTTGGTCGAACGGTAACGGAGAAATGTATAGAACCTGTTACTATCGTGAAAGGGGGGTGATGTAACGGTGTGGGCCTTTTACATGTTCTTAACCCTTGATACTTGTTAATTTGGAATATAATCATACAAGCTGATAATGCTCGGGAATTATATCACAAGAGATAATATTTAGACACACTCACCGATAGACTGATATGGGTCACCGTATCAGCCAGCTTTAGCGGTCTGTCAACGATGGACGCGCGCAATGAGTGGTGAGCAAGACTATAGCATACAGTTTTGCAGATCAATATATTTAAGTTAGGTATAAAACAAAGGTTAAATGATCAGGATTTAATTGTATAAAAATACTTTTACCAGCCACTAGTCATTTCCTAGTTCCTTTCCTTCCCTCTTCATAATTAACATAGGTAGCGAGGAGCCACCCATGCGGCTGTCGGTGGTAGTCACGCCACACTATTTGTCTAGTGTGTGGCTCTCGTGCGCCCTCACTCACAACAACCTACGCACATGGGTTTTGTGGTCATGGGGCGCGAACGGCAGTAAGTGGGCGGGTGTGGTGGGCACGACACCGCTAATTGGTATTATTTATTATCGAAAAGTTTGCTGTAACATTAACTTTTACGGTATGAAAGGCTTATATACGCTGTCGCGGAGCTACCCTTACTCCTTTTTGACAGTTAGTTTGCTAGACTCTTAGGATCTTTTAATCTACTTAAAAAAACGTTTAAATTAAAGGATCTCAAGTCTTGCAGACTTGGTGAGACTCAACTCCCAGTGTGTGCACAAGCCCATAAGCTTCTAGCCCTGGTTCAGGGAACTACGATTCCAAAAAATCCTGTGGAATGAATGCTTCTAAGTACTTTGCCTTAACTTAGGCACTTAAGTCTATTGACCAGAGGTGTATTTAAAATTTACGCGTCTGAAACCGATTAAAAAGGAACTAAACATGTTCACTGGTTCATAAAGATAGCAAATCTTACTAACGTCTTAAACTTTAAAAATTTGCTAGCTAATCAAATAGTCCTCATCGTTGTTCTTCGCTAATACACCGGAAGTACATCACCTCCAAAAAGACCCTCTTGCGATAGGTATCCCCTAACCATAACCGATAGGATACGGTATTATCGCTTAGCGTGTATGGCACAAAAGTATGCCTTACTAGTGATACTGATCTCTTTCTGTGTGAACCACACCGATGTACCTGAATATCAGTACCATTCGTTTAACCCCGTAACATCTTTCCCTACAAAATAGTCGATACCCCGAATCGACATTCTTCATTTTTCTCGTTGAGATAGCGTGGAGAAAACAGATAACTCTACGGTTGTGTTTACGACACCTTGCACATCAATGGCGAAGTCTTCGCGTTTCTCTGAGTCTTTGGAAGACATTTAACGAGAAGAGAACATCTTAATTATGACAGTGACACTGTCCTAGAAGAGGTGATAACCCCCTAACATGCCACGTAAGCGTCGTGCAAGGCTTCGTGCATTACGCCAAACCTATTTCTGGAGAAACACGCCTATCAAACGCTTACAGCGTTGAGTGCCACTGCCAACTATTGATGATTTCATCATCACGAAAAAGCACCACGTGCAACAGCAACGCAATTTCGAGGAAACGTGAGAGCTAGACGACTGTTTTAGACACTAGCTATTGCTGATGTGCGTTCGGATTATCGCTTTAAGCCTTCGGGCGTTGTTGAGTTGTTGCTTAAGTTCGCAGGGCAGCCCTTGATTATTTATCTTACAGAGCGCGAGGCTACGACGTCTGACAATATTTCCGAACAAAATGCTACCAGAGAGATAGATGTCTGAAACTAAATGCGACGACGATCTATGAGTGTCAACTCCAATAAACGGAACAAACACGTGATGCTTCTGTACCGACGCAGAGAAAAATCTCGGTCGTTTTATACCCAGGTGAGAGCGAGGCTAAGGATGACAGCGCGCTCACTCGTTGGGCACATAGAGCACGTCGGTTGCCCAAAATGAGTACCCTTCGGTCTAGTTCCTTCAAACCGACGTTAGGTTTGAGCGCGAGCTGAGCTGTGAGTTTGCTAAGCTAACGGTCAAACGCCAGCTACGCTTGCTGTATCACACGCAGTATGCAAAACGAGTTGCTAGTCAAATCATCACTGTCTCGACTACGTGCACAGTGGCGAGTCACTCGGTATTGACGAATGAGCCGCTTGTCAACCCACAAGGGTTCGACTGAGCATACAGTGACGGATCACTTAATATTTACGATTGAGCCGTACACCCCCACTTCAATTGGTGAATCACGCGTTGAGGGAAAGCTGAACCTCAGCACGACACTCAAAAAGTAAACGGCGTACGAACTAATAGGGATCGATACCCTGCTTCTCCTGGCGTGTGTAGTACAGTGGTCAGTACCTCACCTTGTGGCGGTGAAATGCCTGGTTCGAATCCGGGCACGCGCATTCTTGTGCTAGGTAGACTGGCACACGCTTTGCTCGTTGGGTTGGTGGTTTAACTTCCCTGCCAGTCTTCTGTGCTACTACTAGCACGGTGTCCGTACATGCTATCGTGCCATAGATAGTATCCACCACGACCTGGCCCGAGGCTCCGACTACGGATACCCTTTCTCTCGCATGGGATAGCGTAATGACGCTCTTGTTTGGCGTGGCTGCTCGAACGAGTGTTCGTCCGATTGTGCAACGTGCATCCAGATACGCACTTGATTACCCCTTGATACGCGTTGGACTATCCCGTATACCGATGAGAAGGGATTCTGAAAAACAAGATGCCGCAAGTTTGCTTGCCAGTGTTGTGCTGAAAACAAAGTTTGTTTCAACCGCTTGCTTTGCATATTGAGCCTTTTTGTCCGACTACCTTCTTGGCCGCGGAGGTCGGCTGTGAAATAGTTTAAGCCCACTTCTTACGCAGGTCAAGCTCATGTGAACAGAAATGCTGCCGTGTGCTTCTTTTTACGTCACATGAATGTTTCGGTGCAGAACATGGTTGTGCTAATTGTGGTGGAGCATGGAACCTCGGCAACGACGCGTAAAAGCGATTTGTCTCAACGCGGGCAATCTAAGGTCATCTACATCCCCAGATTACAACTCTTTGCCCGCCAACGAACAAATCCCTTTGACGCGTCGTTGCCAAGGTGCCATGCTCCACCACAATCAGCACAACCCTGTGCTGCATCGATACATTTATGTGACGTAAGAAGAAGCACACGGCACCATTTCTGTTCACATGAGCTTGACCTACGTAAGAAGTAGCCTTAAACTATTTCACAGCTGACATCCGCGGCCAAGAAGGTAGTCGGACAACAAGGCTCAATATGCAAAGCAAGCGGTTGAAACAAACTTTGTTTTCAGCACAACACTGGCAAGCAAACTTGCGGCATCTTGTTTTTCAGGATCCCTTCTCATCGGTATACGGGACAGTCCTACGCGTAGCAAGGGGCAACCAAATGCGTATCTGTATGCACGTTGCACAATCAGACGAACACTCGTTCGAGCAGTCACGCCAAACAATAGCGTCATTACGCTATCCCATGCGAGAGAAAGGGTATCCATATTCGGATCCTCGGGCCAGGTCGTGGTGGATACTATCTATGGCACGATAGCATGTTCGGACACCGTGCTAGTAGTAGCACAGAAGAATGGCAGGGCAGTTGAGCCACCAACCCAACGAGCAAAGCGTGTGCCAGTCTAACTAGCATAAGAGTGCGCGTGCCCGGATTCGAACCAGGGATTTCACCGCCACAAGGTGAGGTACTGACCACTATACTACACACGCCTGGAGAAGCAGGGTATCGATCCCTGTACCTCTCGCATGCGAAGCGAGCGCTCTACCATTTGAGCTACATCCCCAGATGACCACTATTTGCCCGCCAACAAACAAATCGCTTTGACGCGTCGTTGTCAACGTGCCATGCTCCACCACAATTAGCACAACCCTGTGCTGCATCGATACATTCATGTGACGTAAAAAGAAGCACACGTCAGCATTTCTGTTCACATGAGCTTGACCTACGTAAGAAGTAGCCTTAAACTATTTTGCAGCTGACATCCGCGGCCAAGAAGGTGTAGTAGGACAAAAAGGCTCAATATGCAAAGCAAGCGGTTATAACAAACTTTGTTTTCAGCACAACACTGGCAAGCAAACTTGCGGCATCTTGTTTTTCAGGATCCCTTCTCATCGGTATACGGGACAGTCCTACGCGTAGCAAGGGGCAACCAAATGCGTGTCTGTATGCACGTTGCATAATCGAACGAACACTCGTTCGAGCAGCCACGCCAAACAAGAGCGTCATTACGCTATCCCATGCGAGAGAAAGGGTATCCGTAGTCGGAGCCTCGGGCCAGGTCGTGGTGGATACTATCTATGGCACGGTAGCATGTACGGACACCGTGCTAGTAGTAGCACAGAAGACTGGCAGGGCGGTTGAGCTACCAATCCAACGAGCAAAGCGTGTGCCAGTCTACCTAGCATAAGAGTGCGCGTGCCCGGATTCGAACCAGGGATTTCACCGCCACAAGGTGAGGTACTGACCACTATACTACACACGCCTGGAGAAGCAGGGTATCGATCCCTGTACCTCTCGCATGCTAAGCGAGCGCTCTACCATTTGAGCAACATCCCCACTTATGAATTTGCTAGCTACTACGCAAGACAAATCAAGCAGAACCCTCTCCCACCGCATTTCTGCACATCCCTGTCCCGTAGTTCCCCATGGAAAATCCAGCGACTGCCTCTACTCTTGCTCTCGACGAGATACCACGTGGTGCTCGTGGTTCAAAACGTGTGGCTCTGACAACTCGTTCTGGTGGTTCCCCGGCCGGCCCATCCTCGTCCAACGATTCGGGGCCCTCCGACTCTCCTATGGCGGCCCCTACTGACACTGCTCAGGCTCATCACACTGATGGTAGCCCTGACGAGATCATGGACGAGCCCATTTCTGGCTCTATCTTGCCCGTCGACCCGCCAAAATATGATGACGTTCCGATGGACAAGCCGTTTCCCGCCGCGGAACCCGGCTCTTCGCCTCCGCGTGTTGATTCGCGTCCGACGATGGCTGACGTGCTTGGTCAGCAGGAACACCTTCGCCGCGACCACGCCGAGGCTGACGCTGCGCGTCGTCGGGTTGAGACTCATAAGCCTCTCGCAAGTGACATCGAGTGGTTTGAGCGTCAATACGCCTCTGGTGGTGATTGGTCGTTCATTGCTTCTCGTATCGACCAGGCGAGACCGTATGCCCTTCCTCGTGCCAACTACGACATGGTGATCGCTACTGGTCGAACGCTCGCGAAGACTCCTCTTCAAAGGATCATGGTGTCCCTATCTGGTACACACCACAGGAATGACTCTCTTGAGGACCTCTACCGCAGTCATGAGATTGGCCAAATCTCCAAGCTGCCTGAAGGTGATCTCCGCATCAAGGTGAAGTCAAAAGAAGTCTGTCTCCGCCTTGAGCGCACGAAGGTGAACATTCTGGGTGGTGTCTACACGTTCAAGGAGTTTGATGTGCCTTGGTGGCAAGTACTTCATCGACATCTCCAACATGGACTCGGACACTGACACCCAATTGATTCTTCAGCGCCTGTTTCTCCTTAGCTGCAAGCCCGTCTACGACACCTTTCGTGAGGTCAACCTCGCGACTGGCATTACGTCGGCCACTTAGCGCGTGTACTTCTTGACAACTTTATGTCCCAGCGCTCTGATGGTGAATGGCTGCGTATGCGATCAGGTGTTGTTCGACAACAAGCTCCACCCTGCTCATGGAAAAATGCCCCGTTCCAGTCGGAGCGTATGCCATTTGGGTATCGCTCTCACCACGGACTTGACCTGGGTACGACAACTAGCGAATCTTAAGGTACGGTGCCGGGGTCTGCCACGCGTCAGCGCCAAAACCAGACGACACCGGCGCAGTCGTATGCACACGCTGTAAACGTGCCTGCAGCTTCGGTGACTACGAAACTTCCGAAGAAGACCTCACTCCAAAAGGCAATTGAGGATGCGAAAAACGGGAAGGTCAGCTCTATCACGGAGCTTAGCATGCCACGACATCCGCGGATACTCAGCTCGTCACGACTTCGTCCAGCATCTCGGACGCTTTATAGATCTCGACATTGCGTGGGTCCCACGGCAAGATCACTCCTCCTGGGAGCCCAACCGCTCAAAAGACCCCCCCCCCTTTTGCTGACGAATAGCGAGAACAACGGTTTCACGACTGCAAATTCCAGAAAAAACGCGGCCGTAACGCTTTTGACTTCTCCAACATGCTGGTAAAGCAATCGAAGCTTCCATTGGATGGCATTGCCACCACCAACTACTTTCAGGCGCTCCAGACGATGGAGGTCCGGTTTAAATCGACCGAATTGACGGAGGACCCGACCTTTGGCGTTCGTCACCAGGTTTTACCTTTGGGTGTGAAACGTCCTGATGCGCTGCAGACCTCGACCGAGTCCGCTTTCTTCGTTGAGAAACATCACACGAAGATCAAGAAAGCTACCAAGGCTTCTTTTGTGCCCGAAGTGGCTGAGGCCATGCTCAATGACGAGAACACGGCGCTCCTTAGCTTATCCCCGACTGTATTGATGCCGCCAACAGCAAGGTCAGTAGCATGTGCAAGCTTCTCAAAAACGCCGCGAACCCCGACCACTTCACCAAGAAAGCGGTCGATTGTCCTCTTGCCTTCAACAGTGCACTTGCGCTGACGATGCTGGAGGGTGGGTCGGCGATTGACGAGGTCTCTCAGCTGCATGCAATCAACCGCGTGCTTTGCGCGACCAATCAAACGGAAGACAACACGTTCAACAACAAATGGAAGAAGCTGATGGGAACAGCGGTTCCCTCCAAACGCGGTGAGATCTACACCCTGTGTGCCAAGTGGTGAACGTCCACACCCGCCAATGAAGAGCTGTCTCGTGCGTCCAAAGCCTTGGGCATGTTTCAGCTCATGCTCATGTCCATTGCCCCCATTATCTTTTCCAATGACCATTGGATCCAGTACATCACTGGCCAACCAGTCGAGTGGATCCCTGCGCATCATACGCGACTTCTCCACCCAAACACCCTCCTCCGTCCTCTGCGGTCCGAGTTGGGTGCTCACTGCATGCAGCAATGGAGAGAGGCGCAATGGCAGGGACACCTGCTGGATATACTCGAAGCCCTTCAGCAGCTTGATGGTTTCTACCCCAGACGACTCGTCCGTCTTGCGGCTTCACGCCGTCGACGGCGGGGTTTCGATGCTAGCGGGTGCGCTGGCCACCCGTTGCTAAAGGCTCCTCGGCAGAAACATCCTGGAGCAATATCAGTGTTCTGACAGTGAACACTAACGGAATCAAGCAGAACGGTCATCTTCTCATTGAGAACCTGCTATCCAGACACTCATTCTCGTGTCTCCAAGAAGCCAAGTTCGGTGACGCCACCCGTCTTTCGACATTCAAGATCCACCTTGACTCCAGCCTCGACCACAAAGTATTCGTCAATGACCCTAACTCCCATCAACACCGGCCGACACGGGAGAGGAGCAACGGGGTCGTCATTGTGCTTCGCTCTGAATTTCCGGGTTTCAATTCAGCGGTTGTAGTCAGCCGTCTCTCCGTCACTGGGCGCTATCTCGTCGTGCGAGTGCTGGTCGATGGTTTTCCACTCCACCTTCACAACGTATACGCACCTATCGACCGCCAGGAGAAATGTCAGTTCTTCTCGGGTTTGGTCACGGAGGAGTTTGAAGACCACGCGACCCATATTGTGTTGGAAGACCTCAATACCCCCTTGGATCCTAGGCTTGACTCGTCCACTCCTGACTTGCGCTATGACCCGGGTCGGTCCAGCTGTCTTGAACGGATGGCCAAACTCGGGGTCGTCGACACTTGGATGATCCACTTTGACACTTAACGAGTTTGCACTGGTCCTCTACCCCGCAAGAACCGTCTGAATTACATCTTGATTTCGGAGTCCTTCTCGAACGATTTCTATGGCGATTCTCGGTATTTTCTTCCGCAACATGCTGGTGACCATCTTGCTCACAGTGTGAGTTTCAGGTCGGGATCCCAGGTCCACGGTCGGGGTTACGGGGTTACCCTCAGGATGTTTGTGCGATCGAACGAAAAGCAGAGATAATCCGGGACAGACTGCGTTGTGCCTCAAACCCGGGCAAGATATGGGAATCTTGGATGACATCCATCAAGTCTCAGCGCTAGGCGGTCCAGAAGAAGCTTCGCCTCCAAGAATCCCAAGCCATTGCGGCGGCTCGGATACGTCTTGATTGCGCCGCGGCCCGGTTTCGCGGAATTTCGTGTGCTCAGGACCGTGACCTATTCGGTGCTGCCATGCTTTACTTTAAGGAGACTGTGAATCGCACCAGCCAGTATAACCAGGATGCTGCCTTCTATTTCCAAGCGGCCAATTCCGAAAGATCAACGAAGTATTTCTTTCGCCCACTGGACACAAGCTTGAGACGTGTTTCCATTGAAGAAGTCTTGACTCCCGATGGGTCGCTTTCGACGAATCCCACGTACACATCTCAACGATTCCTGGAACACTGGGGTCTGAGATGGGAGATCCCACCGGTCCGGCTGGCCTGGGTCCTCCTCCACATGCTGCATTCCAGCGGACGCTGCTCAACACAGTCGTTCGATCTGTAACATCCCTCGACCGTGACATCTTGGATGCCCCGGTAACTGCTACGGACTTGGCAGCCGCCATCCACCACATGCGCGCGACTTCGTCACCTGGGATGGATGGTATGACGGCTGGTTTCTACCAGGTCGCTCCTGACGTTTTCGGAGACTGCCTTAGTATCGACTTTAAAGATCGTCTCCACCGCGGTACGCTCCTTCCGTCCCAGCGGAAGTCAGCAGTTGTTCTGCTTCACAAGAAAGGGTCGCGTGCGGCTCCTGGAAACTACCGCCCGATTGCTCTTGTACAAGTCGATGTGAAGATACTGTCGAAAGCGCTTACATATCGCCTCCAACAGCTGATTCCCGATTTGATCCACCCCTACCAGAAGGGATTCGTCAAGGGACGATCAATTCATCACCACGTGCGTTTTCTGGCAGATCTTCAAGACCTAGTTACCGGCCGGAACGATGAAGCGTACGCGATGTTTCTGGATTTCGAAAAAGCCTTCGATCGAGTCATCTGGGACTACATGTTTCGTCTACTCGAGCGCATGGGCTTTGGAACGACGTTTACGCGGTGGATCCGGCTTCTTTACACGGACCCACGGGCCCATCTGATGATCAATCAGAACATCCAACCGGCGCTCTTCCCGACGCGCGGAGTAAAGCAAGGGGATCCGTTATCATTCCTTCTTTTTATCTTGACCATCGAGCCTCTTGGCAATCTCCTCCGAAAACACGAGGGGTATGGCGTCTGTCTGAATGCAGAACACACTGCCACCGGCACATTCTTCGCTGATGACTCCACTCTCCTGAGCAGCTCAATCGCGAACCTGCAGGACCAGCTGCTTCTTGTCCAAGACTACTGCCTGGGGTCCGGTGCTAAACTTAACTTACAAAAGTCTGTGCTGCTCGCGCTCAACCGGAACCACACGTGTCCACTTCTTCCCGCTATGAGAGTTCACAGTCGGACGGATACGGTGAAATACCTTGGCATTCCCTTTGGGCAGTCCTCAGTCGATACCGTGATCACCGACCTTCTTGAGCAGCGCTTCTATGACGGCTTCAAATTGTGGTACCGACGGGCTCGTAAGCTTCGGGGTCGTTTGCTGGTAGCCCAGACTATGATTCTTTCTCGCTTGTGGCACTACACTCAACATGTGTCCATTTCGACGATAACTGTGCGGCGTTGGCAATCGATGCTTAATCGGTTCGTGTTGAGTCGAAAACACCACCGCAAGTCATCCCACATTCTTCCCTGTGCTTTTCTCTGCCAGCGCTGCTGTGAAGGAGGGTTGGGATTTCCTGACCTTGCTGCTCATCTGAAGCGTCAGCGGCTCCAACTGCTTTTGCATCTTATCCGTGGATTGGAGACGCCATCGGTACGAGACTGGACGACAGCTAGCTCGGAGCTGACTCTGACGCTCATCCCGTCCGCAGGTCGGCGGCACGCCTTGGACTTTCTCACCATATCCCCGTTGCGTCATGGCGACATCATCAAATGGGGACTGGCTTCTGCATGGTGGAAGGCGGCGTGGAAGCTTTGGACTCTCTCCGGTGGCAGATCACGTGAAACGACCTTCCTCCCGACGAACGCGCTTGGTGCGGACTCCATCAACCCATATGGTTCCACGCGGACGTGGCTCTCCATTTCGAGACATCATCACGATCTGCCACCACTACCGCCCATCGCCGCTGTCTCGGCATGGTTGCCGAGCCACAACGGAGCTTTCGGCTGCACGTGTCCCGCGTCTATGGTATTCAGGCGCTGGCGAACTTCATCCGTGCAGGTGAATCTTGGCCGACGCAAGGGCTGTTTGTCCGTCGCCACATCGACTTCTCCTATGCGTCGGTGGCACCTTGGAGACAAATTATATGGCTGCGCGCACTCTACAACGAAGCCACTCAAATTTTGGACCGGCTTGAGGCGTTTGGGCTTGTTTTTCCTCCAAGGCTCGTCCGCCCGCGCCTTATTCCCCATCTATGATGTACGAGTGGGGGTCGTGTGTGCTTGGTTCCTACCATTCCCCGGTCGGCGCGTCTCAGCGTGGTCTGGACACCGCCGATACCGACACAGCACCATCCGTTGTCGCTTTACTCACCTCGTTCGGGAGGCCTAGATATCAAGGCATTATTGAAGTCTTCACAGTATCTGCGTCGAATCCTGCTTCCGGTGTACGGAGACCTACACTTCCGGCTTGCGTTTCGGCTTCTCCCGGTTCGTTCCCGGTTCTATTTTTGGCTGCATCTTCTCCCGGCATCCAGTGTTGCTTACGCAAAGTATGTACTGCCATCGAGACAAAGCGCCACTTGTATTTTGACTGCGACCTAGCAGCGATGCTATGGGACCGTCTTCACCAGCTTCTTCTCCCCTTCTTCTCCGCAAGGGCCTCTTAGATAGATTTTGTCTTCGCTCAATAAAGCCGGCTACGACCGGCGTGGAGGCGTCAGGCTGGTGTGGTTCAGGACGTCTGGTACATTATTTGTGCTGTTACGCTGCACTTCATTTGGTGTGACCGCAACCGCTGCCTCTTCGAAGGCCGACGGCCGACGCCCGCCACCCCTGCCTTGATGGTCATCTTTACAACCTCAAGCGCGCACTTTCGATACAGCCTTCGTCATCGGTACGATGCTGGCCAGCAAACGAATTTTAAACGTATCATGGAAACGATGTCGCGCGACCGTGCCTTCGACTGGTTCCTGCTCATGCATCCGGATGCGCTTACCATCCGCTCTCCTGGGGGTGACACCGATCTGTGGTGACCACCTCAGCTACTCGTGTCCCACACGTTTCACCTGTGGCATAGCCTTCTGTGCTCTGCTTTCATTTGGAGCGGTTATCGGTCTACGCAGCTGTCATTCGCAGCATAATTTGACGAACGAAGATGATCCTCCTTATCCACGTCTGGGTCATGATGCCCTGTGTGGCGCCGTCTTCACGCACGACCATGGCGTCCCCGATCTTCTGCATCGCGATGCAATGTCCTCGCCGGGAGGCCTTGAGGGTGTACATAAGATACGCTCCGTCTTCAAGTGGGTTCTTCGCCCGCCACGCCAGCTGCGCGACACCCAGTGGTCCGGTTCCTACACCCGTATACCAGTTCCTTTTGCAGGCATTCTTGCACACGCACCATCACGTGCGGGGGACTTCCTCCCGGAGGTACAGCACGAGTTGCGTGTACTTTAGCCCGCCTCGCCGTCCACTATCGCTGATGACCATCCCCTGAAAAAAAATTCCGACAATCGTCCCAATTCCAAGACCACTCTGTCCAACCCTCCCATAAGCTCAAACGCCACTTGGATCGCGTGGAGAGCACAGTCGTCCTTTGGGCTGTCAGCCATGAGCTGGATACTTGGGAGATCCCTAGCGACAAATTCGGTATAAGACGTCCTGCGGTCTGGATGCTTCTTCACGTACCGGTCGTATGCCTCCATTAGCTCGGAGAAGTTTTTCATCTCGGCGGGAGCCATCTACTCTGACGACCGGTCCTCCCACTGGACTAATTACTCTTGGGAGGGGCCTTGCCCTCGTCGTCCCAAGATCCTGGTGACGGTATACTCCGCCGGGGGACACTCGTTTTCCTCCCCTTCGCTGTCGGTGTTCGTCCGACACACTCGCCTCAATCGCCTTCGCTTTGGCCTAGGATCTTCATCGTCCCCGGTTGCGGCCGGTACGTCACCCAAGCCTGCTGCTACCATCCCGCCAGCCTCTCCCTGCTCTGGTGCGGCTCTCACCGGCCCCGGGTCAGCAGCCACCACATAATTGGGCGCATTCGGCGACCCGAGATTTCGATATCGAACCGCACCTTTGCCGGGAGGGGCTGCCATACTGGTCTCAACACCGGCCTGGGTTTCGTTTGTCTGGTTCCCTATGACCAGCCAGGCTGGCTGAAAAAAAAAACAGATTTAGACATCTGGAAATTTGGAACATCCCAAAAATTTGGACAGCTGCGGACACGCGCACGAGATGGCCCGAGGCTCCGAGCGCGCTCGTGTCTGCCGACCGGCCAGGTCTACTACCTCCCGCGCCGACGACGACCAACTGTGTTCACCTACCGACCTGGCGCGCCCACGATGGCTGCTGCGCCCCTCCGAAAGTCCGAGGGGTTCCGGCGTTCGTCCTTCGGCAGCGCTCATTTTGTTATTCCAACTTTTGTTCTCAAATAAAAGAAAACGAAAAAAAAACAAAAAAAAAGTCGTAAGTATAGGACTTACTTACCATGCTAGTAGACTGAGAAGTCACTCCGTCTTAGCATTTTTAATTAAGACACACTTTATACTTTCAACTGAGCTACAGAACACTTTTCTTAAACGTCATGCCGAGGCGTATCATTTACAACAGTCCTGCGAGCTCACGGAGTGTGCCAACGCAGTCGAAGCACAAGTCTGTGAAGAAGAGACGTGTTCCGTGGGGGCGAATTGATGCCGAAACCGGTATCGAAACCGTCCCTTGCAGCTCCGAGTCTCGCGCCAAGGAGTAGGCGTGTTCGCGGCGAGGCCGATCGACGCAGGGACAGTGGTGTGTCAATACTGGGGGACGTATGCAACCGCCGCTCAACCCGATGTGGCGTACACGATCAAGCTGAACGCGAGGGACGCCGGGGGGGCGGCAGGTGTTCGTAAGCGCAGAGCATGGGGGCGGTAAAGCCCGGTTTGTCGCCCACGCCTGCAATCCGAACACCGAGAACGTTGAGGTGCAAGGACTCCGCACGGTTGTCGTGTCGCTCGTGTCCCAGAGGGCAACAAAATCCGGCGAGGAAATTACATCGGACTACACGGGACGCACTGGAGATCCATTGTGGTTCCATTGCCAGTGCCCGGTCCACAAGGACGACAATTACGCCGCGCTGCGGCTGCTCGGGATCAAACAGGAGCTGCAAGATGAAGGAAAATGAAGGGTGAGCAGGGAGTAGGGTCGATAGGGTAGGGAAGCCACCACCCCTTAATCGGAAGTAATGCGAAGCAGGCCTGTCCTTGGCAAAGCCCCACCGTAACCAAGGGAGCGTAAGTCTGGTTGAATTTTTTTCATTATGCTGGTTATAGGAAAAAAGGAGCTACGTAAGCTAGGTGCTGAAAAGGCTATAGGAGAGGAACCTAAGGAAAGTAATAACGTAAATTGAAAGGGAGCCGTGTCCAGAAATATTAGAGAGACACGAAAATCAACCAATACAAACACGAGCGAAGACGTATTGGACCAAAGAGAGAAGATCGACAGAGCGAGAACAAGATGGACGACAACGAAGGCAGCGCGAAACAGGGACTAGAGATGTTGGCATCGCTGCCGACGTCGACACACCGCCTCGAAGCGTCAACGGAGGCAGAGACCGAGGGACCAACGCCACGGGTAGAGGATTACCCGAGCAGCGTCGGATTCAACGAAGCCAGAAACCAGTATCGGCTGGATCAGAAACGCAAGCGGAGGGCGCAGCTTAGAGCCGAGCGCGAGAAGAACACACGAGAAGAGCTGCAGAAATATGATACACGTGCCGTGTTCGCGAAAAGGGAAAAACAGGCAAAGGACCGCTACGGAGTCCGGACCAAGCAGAGACGAAAGTCGAACCTGCACAAGCCGAAGCGTAGTGGCTGCATGGTAACCCATGAAAACCATGGATTCTCCTGAGCCAGAGGACGGCAGTAGAATGAGAAGAGGCACGCCACGGGGACGAGAATACCAGTGTGGTCGCATCCTCAAGCGAGGACGATCGCGTCATGACGCTGGAACACGAAAGCCAGGAAATCGACGTCAACCACGGGGACCTTCAAGATCAAGATCAGCGCAGCTACGACAACCACGAAGACTTTCAAGATCAAGATCAGCGCAGCGACGACACCCACGAAGACCCTCAAGAACAAGACCAGCACAGCGGCGCTGACGAAGAGGAGGAGAAGACACCCGTTATTGACTTGACCGGGTTCGACAGCATGGATGACGAACCGGCGCCAGGAACACGGGACCACATTATCCAGAAGCAAGGTTTGGTGAGAGTGTGCCATGGCCGACGGACGTGCGTCACATGACGAGGATGGACAACCCGCGAGGCATCACCTTCAAGATGGAGGGAGTGAGGGAGGGCAAGTGCGGATGTGAAGGCCGGTGCACCTTGGGCACGTGTCTGAATGCCAGTGAAGTTCAGGTATGCGAGCCACACACGTGCTCCGTCGGTGCAAAGAGGTGTGAGAACCGGTTTCGGCAGCGCAGGCTGTACCTGAAGACGACCAAGTTGGGACTGGGCGTCTTCGCAGCGCGCCTGATCCCCGCAGGCGGAGTAGTGTGTCAGTACTAGGGAGCGTAAGTCTGGTGAATTTTTTTTATTATGCGAGTTAGAGTAGAAAGAGTAATCTAGGCTAAAACCTAAATAAAGAGGTTGAAAACTAGGCCGGGCCAAGAAATACAGTGAAAACGAGATACCCGACCCCGCCAACCACAGCCGGTCAAGACACTACAGTAAGTAGAAGAACCGACCGAAAACCAAGAAATGACACCCGCGGCAGATATCCCGCAGGCGGAGAGACCCGCCACAGGCGGAGAGGACGCAGAGCGCCAGTCGACAGCAAGGGTCACAGATCAAGGCGGCGGACCGGCGAGGAGCAGTTAACCGCGACCCAGCAGTTGTTGGCCAGGATAGCGGCAGGTCAGGAGACGCTCGCCGGGATGAAACGGCCCAGGAAGCAGGAGCTGAAGGCCGCACGCGAGAAAAATCCCCGACCGGACTTGGACCAGTTCGAGACGCGTGCCGTGTTCCAGAAGAGGGCCAAGAAAGGCAAAGACCGGCTGGGGCTGAGACGGGTGTCGCGGAAGAAATGCCGGCTGAAGAAGCCTAAGCGAAGTGGGTGCTTCGTGATAGGCGGACCCAAATGGCCACCAGCAGCCCCGGTCAAGTTGACGGAGGAAGACGTAGACGACAGCGATGCGGAAGGAGATGACGGAGACGACGACTACGACCATGGCGGAGGTGAAGACGCGCAAGACGACGGCGACGGCGAAGACGAAGAAGGAAGCAACGACCACATCGAAAGGGACGACGGCGGAGGGGCGAGCGGAAAAGAAACCGCGACGGAGACGCCCGGGCCGACGGCGGAACAGCAGGACAACCAAGCCCAGAGTGCTACGCGCCAATGGTTGATCGACCACGTCCCTGTGGGCGAGGCGGTACCGTGGCCTACGGACATCCAACGGACGCTCACGATGTTAAACCCGGACAACATATCGTTCCGGATGGACGGTGCGCGGGAGGAGAAAAGTGGCTGCGTAGGAAGATGCTTTCTTGGTTGCTGCAGGAATGCCCGCGTGGCGCAAGTGTGTGAGGCCGAGACCTGTTCGGTAGGGGCCAAGGGTTGTGAGAACCGGTTCCGTCAGCGACGGCTGACCCTGAAGCAGACCGACACGGGGCTGGGGGTGTTCGCAGCCCGCTCGATTCGAGCGGGCGACGTCGTGTGCCAGTACTACGGGAAGTACGCACATGAAGTATCCTCGTACGCCCATTACACGATCGAGCTGACGGAGAGGGACGCCAACGGGTGGCGAGTGTATGTGTGCGCTGAGAGCTGCGGCTCGATCGCGCGGTTCATAGCCCACGCCTGCCAGCCAAACACTAATTTTGTGGAAGTGAGAGGGATACGGAGGCCGATCATATCCCTCGTGGCGCAGGTCGACATCCGGATCGGGACGGAGATCACGGTGGACTATACCGGGGGGAGCGTAAGACTGGTGCCAGCGGCCGCCAAATTTTTAGCCTTAACCGCGTAAATTGGACCATTGATAGTTTATAAAGTTACATTTCTTTTACGACCGGCTCGATTCCCTGTACGTGCACTCATGAATGATCGATTCATGTTTTGTAAATCTGGCTTTCTTTATCTACACTTGGTAGGCTTATAATGTTGCTTCATGTTCTGTACAGGTATTTAGAGAGTTTGTAGCAAGCGTTTGCTTATACAAAAAACAGTAGCATGTAAAACTAGGGCCGAGTGCAAAACGAGCGCACATAATGCTGGTGAGTTTAGACTTATGCCGGCGAGTCTCTGACTACTGGTTAACATGCGTTTGTGACGGTCATATAACTGCTGACAAGGTCCACCGAATTTCTGTCTTTATGAATGTAGTTTTATCAGATAGTGGTAATTGGGTGCGTATCACTTTCCTGGGAACATGCGATAAGCGTATATGCGGTGCAACTGTCATTTGGTAAACTGATTACCAGAAGATAACCAGATCGTTACGAAACGTAGCTACAACAATGTTTTATATCCATGGATACGGAACATATCATAGACACCAGGCACAGATGCAACATGGTTCGCAGAAGAACCAATTGTCTCAACTAATACATCACTTCGGTGTTTGCCTTTTTATCTCATTACTAACGGAAGCACATTAGTTTTGATACGACTAGTGCTGTGTTGTACGAGGATCATGATAAAGAGTACCGTTTCAAGTGATCTATAGGGTCCCGTGCTAGTTATCCGCGATGTGCAGTTAATAAGGCGCATATTTATGGTAAAGAATGGACTTACGGAGCTGTTGAAGAAGCGGTTAAGAGTAGCTTCATGACTGAAAAGATTAGACATCAATCGGCCATAATTTTTTAATACTCTTCACGTGTTCTTCAAACTCGACCTTATAGCATCGAGATTTTAATAGGGACAAAAATCGGGTAAATTGTACACCTAAATTTTATCCATGTATCCAATGTTTGTCCAGAATACTTACGCAAGGAAACAGTATCTGAAATTGCAACGGAAGAATTGACGTAACAGTTTGAAGCTTTAGCATTCGTCTCATTTTGAATGCAACGACATCTTTCAAAAATCTGTTATTCGGGGTTTCGGATTCAAAATGAAATTTCAGAACGCTAATGCTCCAAAAATTGAGTATGGCTGTTTTTCATCAATTTATAAATGTTCTGCGTGTTCTTACAAATTTATTGAATAATTACAGAATTCGGTGGATGCAAACTTAACATTTAGATCAGTAGTGCGAATTTATCGTCTCATTTGCATAGTCTTTCCTCTCTAAGAGAATTATTACCGGCGCGAAGGATTCTGTTTGCCAGTGTTATGTTGTGTTGAGTCCAAAACGGACTTTCCTGGGCAACCATTGTATAGGTTTCCAGTAGATGACATGAAAATCGTGACTTTTACTTCCAAACATCCTTCCAAATCGGAAGTTTCAGTTGAAAAATGTCAAGCCGAGTGCAGCGAAGCATTATTGACGACAACACGAATTTGCAGATATACCACAGTCTTCTCTTCGGTTCTTGCAGCCTCTCTGTTGCTCTCGGTCGCGCCGTAATGCACGCGACTTCAGTACGTCCGAGTCTTGCTATAGAGCTGCTGCGCTCTTCTGCATCGATTCGAAATGTGCTGCCAGCTAGAGCTGAGGATATCCATCTACAGCTGCTCTACTACCAGACCTATGTTTTTTTTAGATAATCAGCTATTCATGAGGCGTGTGAGCTGCGCAGCCGACGAGTTGTAAGGTCCGTCTATGACTGAGTATGCCGGACGCGACATCGTGCTCATGGCGGCAATGCCAGAAAATCGGTCGCTAACAGGAGCAAATGTTATGGTAAAAGAAACAAGGGCTCAGATGGCAATTGGCGTCACCTGTCAATCAAAAGGATGTGGAGCTTCTCTCAGTGGCGAGTCCATCGATTGCCAACGAAAGTCCTCGGTCGCTTCATGTAGCAGTAGAGATTGAACGACCTGTTGACGCAAAAGAGACGTGTCCAGGTTGCCCCATCGCCCGTCGTTTGCTCCTCACTGAATTGCCAATCGCTTGCGTTCACTATGCACCGTAAAAAAGACAGGACGTGAAGCCATTTCAAGCGACAACCAGCTCAGCTGCTGACTGACGTGCGAACGTGTCCGTCGTGCTCACATAGACAGCCAGTCGCTGCCAATTGGCGCCCACCCCCACAGTCTCCGCTCGCCCCTCCGGTATCGTCACGCGCGCGTTTTAACACTAGAAAAAGCGGTCCCTGATCATCAAAAAGCGACTGACCGACAGACAGAAGGGTCGCAACTGCGACAGTCGCACACAAGACACGGCCGACCAGCACAAACGAGCTCCATGTCGACCCGACCACGCGCTTACGTGAGCGCCCAAGACGACGTGCGGTCCACGGACTCGCGCAGTTCAGCGCGTCCCCGGGCTTTTATCCGACGGGATGACGACGACGCGGGATCTACGGGGTCCCACATGTCTGTGGGACGTCCCAAAGCTTTTATCCGGACGGACGACGACGTGGGATCCACGGGGTCCCACATGTCAGTGGGACGTCCCAAAGCTTTTATCCGGACGGACGACGACGTGCGATCCACAGACTCACGCAGCTCGGCGCGTCCCCGAGCTTTTGTCCGGGGGGACGACGACGTGGGATCTACGGGGTCCCACATGTCTGTGGGACGTCCCAAAGCTTTTATCCGGACGGACGACGACGTGCGATCTACGGGATCCCACATGTCAGTGGGACGTCCCAAAGCTTTTGTCCGGGGGGACGACGACGTCTGCTCGACGTCATCGCGAGCATCAGCCCGACCCAAAGCTTTTATCCGCAACGACGATGACGGCAGCTCCTTGTCCAGTAACCGCGGAGGTCCAATGCGCGTGAACCAGGACTCGAATCACGGCAGCAGTAGCGTGACCGGGAGCAGCAGCTCGAGCCGTCCACACATTGGGATTGCAGGTGGGGGCGGCTTGACAGCCGCGATACTGCAGCAACATCGCGCGTCGGCTGGAGTCAGTGGACTGGATCTGGGTGCAGCTCGCGCCCGCTATGATCTGGATGAGACGCGGTCCATGACGGGCATGTCTGCTCGGCTTCGGCGGCCGCTTCATGCTACGAGTCGCGCCCCCCTTGCTCAACCATTGAGCGCCAGTATGGGTCCGCGGATCCGCGTCCCGGACGCCGACATCCCCAGCGACATTCCAAACCACGTCATTGACGAGATCAAGAAGAGTCTCGAGATGCACTTTGCGTCGCGCAATGGCGCTGTGGATAAGAAGGTGGCGGACTTGCGCACGGACGTTGCGAGCTTGAGTTCGCAGATCTTGGATCTACGTAAGGTGGGCACTAGCGCTAATCTATCGGGGCACGCAGCCTCGGACTCTATGGGTGTTCAGGCCAGCACCGTTGCAATAGCGCGCCTTGAAAAGCACAGTGCGGAGGTTTTGGACCGCCAAGCAAGAGCTGACCGCGAGTTGACAGAGCTTAGCACTCGAGTCAATGCGCTGTCGTCTGCGACCATGAAGATTTCAGCGCTGGAGGACAACATTGAGGCTTTGGTTGCCAATCGCCAGAAGCAGGAGCAAGGATTATTTAAGCTTGCAGAGAGGGTGCAGTTGATGCACCGTCAAATAGGCAGCTTGGTGGATATGAAGGCTGTTGAAAACTTGTTGAGCATTCGTCTGACGCGAGAATTTCGTGAAATGGAGGACCGACTATCGCAAAATGTAATTCAAATTGCCGAGAAGATGGAGCAGAAGGTGCAAAGCTTGGAAGAGCATTCGTTCTTGCAGCGCCAGGAGGGTCTAGCTGCTTTGAAGAATGATCTGTCGGATAATATTCAGAGTCTGCACAGCTCGGTACTACGCCGAAGTGAACTGCTTCCGTTGCAAGATGCTCATATGCAGGACAGAGAGGAGGTGGCACGGCTTTTAAGCGTTTTGAATCTTCACGAGAGAAAGCTTCAGGAGGCCAAGGAAACTAGTAACTCACTGCGCGATGAGATGAACAAGGCGATGGAGAGCCAACAGTGTAGTGCTGCAGCCTTGATGGAGGAGAAGCTTCAGCAGATTGCAAGTAGAAACGAGGAAAAGTCGAAGTCGATCGACGATCAGCTCTCAGAGCTTGCTGAAAAGCAAAAAAAGCTTGAGGAGGCCACAAAGACGCTTCAGGAAAACATGACGCAGACCGGTCAGCAGTTAAGCCATGACTCTGTGGACAAGGATGTGGGGAATGATAAGCTGCGTCAGCGTCTTGCTCGCTCTGTAGTAGAGCTGGAGGTCCTGGCAACGACAAAGGCAGAAGTAGAGCACCGCTTTGCTGCTGCGGAAAAGCAGTTTGAAGCAAGGTTGGAGGCACTCCGTATGACTCTGACCAAGGCGGAAGAGCAGAAGGACGCAGAGCGCTTGGAGCTTGTGCGAAAGCTGCAGGAGGAGAGTAAGTTGATGGGTGTTGCACAGGGAAAGAGTACAATGCTGGAAACCCTACTGGCTCGTGAAAAGGCTGAGAACGAGAAGAACAATGAGCTCATGCGTAAGTCGAAGAAAGAGGTGGCAGAAATTCGTGACCAGATTCACAAGTTGGAAAGCAAAAAAGAGAAGGAGGTCCGGCGGCTGACGTCGGAGCTACAAGCTAAGCAGACCCAGATTGCACTGCTAAATAAGACGCTGGAGCGTGTTGAGACGGCTTCTGCCAAGATGCTGGATCTATCCAAGGGTGAAGCTAAGTCCGTTCGTCGTGCGAAAGCTATGAAGGAACACGAGCTATTCATTACACAAATGAAACTGAAGGAAATGGAGGGTGTAGCTCAAGCACTTCAAACTGGTACTGATATTCAGAAGCAAACCGCATTTGCAGCTGTGAGCAGTGAGGAGCGCAAGGGGTTGGAGAAATCGCTTCTCGAAAGCCGTCTAGAGAAGGAGGAGTTGAAGCAGAAGGTCGAGGAAATGGTTGAAGAGCTCAATGCGGCTAAGGCAAGTCAAAAAGTGGTTATGGAGGACGCCATCACCAGGCTTTCGAGCGATTACGATAGCAAGATCAGTGAGCTGAAGCAGCAAGTCGAAGACAAAGAGCGAACAATGCGGCGATTCTGTGATACGCTCGCTGAAAAGGGCAGCATCGACGCTATCGAAGTCGAGCTGGCTGCGCTGAAGGACGAGAAGAACGACTTACTAGAACAACTTCAGCGTGCACAGATTGAGCACGAGCGTGTTGCACTGAAGACTGAGACGGATCTCCGTCTCGAACATGCAGCCGAGTTTGCTGCAATAACGTCAAAGCTTGAAGCGCGAATATCGGAGCTGGAAAGTGCCAGGTCTGAGCTTGCAACGACCAAAGTGACGATTGCCGAGCTGGAGAAGGAACTGGAGAACCAAGAAACAATACGCCAGCGTGAGGTGTCCAGTCTCACCGACGAAATCAAAGAGGCTCGAAGCAAGATCGATACATGCACGACGCAAATCCTAGAGCTTGAGGTGACCAAGGCTCGTCTGGAGGGAGATGCATCTCATATCGAGGCCAACATTGGTGGAGCATCTGCTGAAAAGGAGGAGGAGCTGGCTGTTGTTAAGAGTCAGATGCAAGCGGAAGTCGACAAGCTTTATGCTGAGCTTGCCGAAGTGTCGAGTACGCTGGAGGCCAAGCAGGCGATGCTTCAGGAGGCAAAGCAGTCGGATAAATCGAATCGCAAGCGGCTGGTAGAAATGGCGATGACCCAGGAAGAGATGCAGAGCCGCTACGTGTTCCAGGTTGACTCGCTGACGTCGAAGCTTAAGCAGGAGCGTGAGAGCAGCCGTGATTGCGAGCAGGATCTGGAGGATACCATTGCCAAGCTCAATGTAGACATCAAGACACTAAATGCTGAGTCGGGCAAAGAAGTAGACGCCGTCCGCCTAGAACTGATGAGCCAAATGACCGAGCTAACAGCATCTCTACAGGCCTCTCAGCACCGTGAACGACAGCTGCAGTTGCGCCTCAAACGTATTCTGGGGGAGTTGGTGCATGCTGCGAACGCCTTGGGCGGGAATGAAGTGGTCGAGGGTGCAAAAATGAGTGATGACGACGCCATCACGTATCACCTCGACGCCCTGTACGCGACGCATCGCCGTACGGTGCATGAATTGGAGAGACTCCAGGGTGAGTACGAGCTAACCGTTAAACAGGCTGCCGTGGACAGCGCGACAGCTCAAGAGCTAAGCAAGCACGTGAAGGAGCACGAATCTCAAATCTCTGACCTGGAGTCGATTGTGGAGCAACTTCGTGAGGAGTTGAAGGAGCAATACCACAAGTTTGCAGTCATTGCCAAGGGTTCAGACGAGTTCAGTGACGAGATGGCTTCCTTACGTGAGGAGAAGCGTCAGCTTGAGCGTCAGCTTGAGGAAGAGGAAAAAGACCGTGCAAAGCGCGAGATATCGTACCAGCGGCGAACGGAGATGAAGGAGCGCGAAGTTGACGAACTCCGTACCGAGAACGAAACATTGACGGCTGCTGTCGCTGCCGTCCGCGAGAAGATCCGTGCGGTGGAGAGTGCAAAGTATTACGAATTGGGCAAACTGCAGAGCAAGCTACAAGACCTCGAAGAGCGGGCAGATGCACTTCAGCCGAGCGAATGCAGCTATGCTGAAAACGTTAGCACTACTCGAGAAGAAATTGCTTCTTTGACTGCTGAAGTGCAGTCGTTGTACCAGAATTTGACTGCATGCTGCGGCATCATGGAGTGGAGTGAGCTTCGTGCGAGTTTGTTCGATGAGGAAGAGAAGCTGGCGCGAGTCCGTTCAGAGCACGCGCAGGAATTAGCCAAGGTCCAGTCAGTCGAGCAGGAAATTTTGATGAACGCTGAGTTCCTAAATGCACTGATGGTGGCCCATGGCTCGACGGAAGGAGATGGTAAACTGCTGAGTGATTTTCGCTGGATGCAAAAGTATGTTTCAATTGCTCCAGAGATTGTGGAAAAGCTCCGCAATGTAGAGTCACGGTTGCGAGATGCAGTGGCGGATCTGCATGCCGACTCGACTTCGTTGTTCTCGACAGGATCCTCGAAAAATCTTTCGAGTCGTGGGGGTGGTAAGGGCGTGGCTGACGAAGTTGTCGCGCGGCCTCCCAGCTCGCAGAATTCGTCTGTCGACGGTGCTACGATGGCACTTGCGTTGGAGAAGGCTAGACAGGACTATTTCAACGAGATATCGGAGGCAGGTCAGGTGGAAGGCGTGGATGATAACGACGATTAACTCATAACGAGTCAACAGATGCCGGACAGCAGGACGTTGTAGACTACGAAGGAGGAGACGTCACGAGCTAGGGGAATACAGGTGAGACTGCACAGGATCTGATCAGGTAAAACAAGTCGCGACGAAGTTGAGACTGGTGCTGATTTGAGGTGTTAACATTTGCGTCATGAGCAGGAAAACAAGGTTCAGAGCAAGGAAGTGCGTGTGCAGCGATGTCCAGCTTTGATGAAAAGAGAGCCGGATGCTTAAGTTACGTAGGGGATCTCATGCTCTAGGAAAATGGCGCTGAGTGTCAGTGGTCTCAAGATGGCGAAGGCTGAGCTTCAGTCAACATGGAATGATCGTGGTATAGCCGTGTGCAAGGAAGTGGACTCGAGTGGATGCCATTGCTAGAACAAAGCCTCAAGTGAACAACCGAGCAATGTATTGATAATAGATGTGGCGACAGTAAAGAATTGCATCATCGATCGTATAGACCGAGACCAATTGGAGATATCGCTTCTTTGAATGGTAAAGCAGGTAGTGCGTTTGCTTGTGAAGCTAAGCTGAGGAAGCACAGGATGTACCTATGCTGATATAGTGGCAGGGCATGCAAAGTTTGGCCATTCGAGTCGACTACAAGGTTGGGAAATGTGATCTTGGCTGTTTTGGAAGATAGCTCCATTGACGATGCCGTGGAGTCAGCGGTCGTAATGAAGCATCAAGGGTTAATTCGAAGCAGTGCTACGAATGACTTGTCTAATGGATGGATGGTTAGTGGAAGCAGCTACAAGCTGAGTAAGACAAGTACTTGCTCACGAGCTTGCAATCAGCTTTGAGTAATCCAGCAATTCGAGTTGCAGTCAACATAGCGAGAGTAGACAAGATGGCGAAATCAGTGTCCGCGAAATCAGCAAGTGCATTCTCCTACTGCCGGACTCGGGTAGTCTGGTGGAAGTCATTACCCACGGCTCTACTTCGAGCCTAGTTGAGAGCCCTCGCCGTGTCAGATCTTGACAAAGAAAAAATGGCATATGCTGGCGGATCAGCAGCAGCGATGCCATGAACAATACGAAAATCTCAACCACTTGCTCGGAGATACTCAACCATTATGCTGATCATGTCGCAGTCGATTCGCCTGCCTTCTAAGAGATAGTGGCGTTAATGTCAAGTACATTTTGAGAGAGTGATCGTAACCGCGAAATGCAAACTTCAATATATCGCTTTGAGGTAGCAAAGAGAAGGAAGCGTCACGCGGTCTTTGTAAATGGCAAGGTCATCTACCTTCCACGGTCTGATTGTACGTCCCGTAGTAGTCAAACAAAGGAGTAAGCTAGTAATGAAATCGACAGGTTGCCAGTGAAAACAATCCATGCAGTGAGAGCTCAGCCACGTTGACTCTGTAAACATAGGGAAAGCGTCCGAAAGAAGGAGTAGCACGTGTGACACGCCGTTGTTGAAGTGTAACCGTACGTGTTCTCACCCGCCCATCAGATCTGAGACGACGCCACACCAAATTATATCCCCAACCAAAAGCCCATCTCACTCTCACTCACTCATTTGCTCAATCCTTGACACTTCAACAGAATATCCGCCAATTGTCACCAAGAAATTCCCCGTCAGCTCTATCATGACCATGTACGTCTAAATCCGTCCCCCTCCTCTGCCTCTGTACCCTCCCATTATCTCTATGCACTCCCCATTATCCACCTCACCAATATCCTCTTCACCTATCCTTCTCTCGATCCAGTGCATGCTGCATCTGCGGCGCTCAGATCGAGGCCAACGCCATGAACATGTGCCCGTCCTGCCTCGCAGCTGAAGTCGACGTGGCCGAGGGCATCGCCACCACGGGCGAGCTCGTGCAATGTCGCGGCTGCTTGCGCTTCCAGTCCCGAGGCAAGACGCAGCAGCATAGCAGCAGCAGCTCTGGCGCGTGGCTCGACTGCGACTGGGGAGTCGAAGGAGCTCATGGCGCTCTGTCTCAAGAGCATTGCGGGTCTCAGTAAAGCCAAGCTCCTGGATGCCGGGTTCATCTGGACCGAGCCCCACTCGAAACGGGTCAAGCTCCGGCTCACGCTGCAACGGGAAGCAGCGAACCACGCGGTGGTGCAGAACACGTGCGTCGTCACGTTTGTCCTGCACTCGACCAAGTGTCCCGACTGCATGAAGCACTACCATAACAATACATGGCGTGCCCTGGTACAGATCCGGCAGAAAGCTGACCACAAACGGACGTTTCTTCGTCTAGAACAGGACATTCTCAAGCACAATGCCCACCAGGAAGCTATTGGGATTGCCACGGTGAAAGACGGGATGGACTTTTACTTTGGCTCCAAGTCTACAGCTGAGCGGTTCCTGCACTTTTTGTCGGCTCACGTGCCGATGCGGTCGAAGACGTCGAGCAAAGTCATCTCGGAGGACGTGCGCAACTCGACGGCCAACTTGCAGGTCACGTACAGCGTCGAGCTCAGTCCGATCTGTAAAGACGACTTGCTCGTGTTGCCTCGGAAAGTCGCGCAGGGATGTGGCAATATTGCCGACTTGACGCTGTGTGCACGCGCGACATCGATGGTGCATCTGGTGGACCCCGTCTCGGGACAGAAGGCGGAACTGTCGACGGACAAGTACTGGAAGCTGCCGTTTTTACCACTGGCAACCAGCTCCGACATGGTCGAGTTCATCGTGTTGGATGTCGACCCGGTGGAGCCGCGTGACTTGCGCCATGCACCGACCTCGAGCAAAGGGCAAATGTCCAAGTTTGTCGTGGCGGACGTGGAAGTCGCTCGCATGAGCGACTTTGGCGTGAATGATACGACGTTCCGTGTGCGCACGCATCTTGGTGGTGTGTTGGCTGCAGGCGACACAGTCAGAGGCTACGATCTCTCTTCAGCTGTCTTTGGCACCTGCCAAACGCGTTCGTTGAAGGGAGAGCTTCCTGACCTCGTGTTGGTGCGCAAGGTGTACCCCCGTGAAAGCAGCAAGCAGCACAAGGGCACCCGCAAGCTCAAGACGTTGGGCGCTGAACGCCGCGGCAAAGTTAGCAAGGCCGAGACGGCACGGATGCAGCATGAGATGGAGGCATTCACTGAAGAATACTTGAACGAGGAGGACCAAGAACGTGACACTGGCAAGGAACTCGAGGATGCAAACAAATTGAGCCTGGAAGGTCCTGAAGATGGCGTCTCTGCTGAAGCAGTCGAGGAGCGAACAGCAGCTATGGCACATCTTAGTGTGTCGTAAGAAGCGAGAACATGGGTATGAGAACATGGGTATGTATGGTTGAATGGAGGTCGCATTTGCAAGGACTTTGCTTACCAGACACTAATGTCATACATGTCCTGCTACCATCCGTACTTGGCGTACGTCTCTCTCTTGGTCTTCATTGACGCGCTGCGTCGGTCCAGCAAATCGAAGTCACGTGCTTTAGCATCGAACGCAAGCTGATTCAATTGATGTTTCTGTCGTTGCAGCCGGCTGGGCTTGACTGTTGACACCATCGTGCCGGCCTGAGCGTTCCAAAAGCTGGCCTTTACTTTCACGTCCACGTCACCGGATCCGTTAGAGCCTGCCAACGGGTTAACCGGTGGTTGCCACACATTAGGCAACGGACCTTGCACCTCTGCAAGTTGCCCCGCCACAGTCTCAAAGTGGCCATCCTGAAGTGCTCGCTCAATGTCTCGTTCCCGTGTTCTTCTGCGTTTAGAGCTGCCCCCGGCCACATCATCTTCTCCCTGTGCAACATAATATTCCTGTAAATTGGCAGCACCACTGTTCTGATACTGCTGCTGTTGCTGGTAATACTGCTGCCAGGCTGCAGCATTTGCCGTCGATATCTCTTCGCCTACTGGATGCTGACCGCTTGGAGCTTCTGTGGTCTGCACCCAAGTTGGATTCTCCTCCACTCTCTCCTCGTCAACAGCACCTACAGTCCTTCTTCCATTTAGTTTTGTAGCTGGAAGCTCATGCTTCGGAGGCGGGAGGAAAGACAGGACCGAGTCTTTAGCAGCTGCAGCTGGTCGTGGACGCTTCGTAACTGCTTTCTTGGCTCGTCTGTGCTTGGCCAACAGCTCGTTGTCGTCCTCACTGTCTTCGGAGAACGATCCAGCACTGACTCCTGTCTCGAGAAGCCGCTGGATCTCCGGTGGAAGGTACAGCGCCGTCTTGATCCTTCTCTTTGTCTTCTTCTTCGTCTTCGTCTTCTTTGTTGTAAGCCCCTGCAGCTTCTGCTTGGACGATGCAGCGGATGCGACGCTAGCGGATGACACTGAACCTGGATGCGGTGTAGATGCAGGAGGAGAGACAGGAGGGTGGGAAGCGATGGGTGAGCGAGACGTGTCCTCGTCCTCGGAGGAGCTCGCGTAGTCGGGGACCAGGAGCGCCATTGTGATGTGTCGCGTAAACTCAATTATTGCAATACAATTACACAATTGCTGATTTTAATCAGCACATATTGTTTCATCGATATTGGGATTGTTCCTGCTTGCAATTAATCGATCGCTCAATTATTAGTTCTTGCAATTAGCAGCTCCATCACACACATCCGACTGAAAACGCTCTGTAAACAGGGACGGTTTGTAACATGCTGAGTAGTATCTTTTCTTTCTTACGAACATGGTCTCTACCTTCGAGTGTCAACATGTCAAAGCTGTGGCTTTTACTCGCTCTTGATCATGTGCTCAATCAGATCCAACACACGCGAGCTGTAGCCCCACTCATTGTCGTACCACGAAACAAGCTTTACAAAATTGTCCGTGAGAGCAATACCAGCCTCAGCATCAAAGATTGACGAGCGAGAGTCACCAATAAAGTCGCTTGATACAACAGCTTTCTCAGTGTATCCAAGAATACCCTTCATCTCGTTCTCAGAAACCAATTTGATTGCAGCCTTGATCTCGTCATACGACGCAGGATTCACCAGACGAGCAGTCAGATCCACGACAGACACATCCGCCGTAGGTACACGGAACGACATACCAGTCAACTTGCCATTCAAGCTAGGAATCACCTTGCCTACGGCCTTGGCTGCACCAGTAGAGCTGGGGATGATGTTGAAACAAGCGCCACGACCACCACGCCAATCCTTGTTTGACGGACCGTCTACCGTCTTTTGTGTCGCAGTCACGGCGTGGACTGTTGTCATCAGACCCTCCTTGATGCCAAACTTGTCATTCACCACCTTGGCCAAAGGAGCCAGGCAATTCGTCGTGCACGAAGCATTCGACACTACGTGCATTTTCTTCTCATACAGCTCGTGGTTCACGCCCATGACGAACATTGGTGCATCATTCGATGGAGCCGAAATCACAACCTTCTCCACGCCGTTCTTCAAGTGCGCCGAAGCCTTGTCGATGGACGTAAAGGCGCCAGTAGACTCGACCACGTATTGCACCTGCTCCTCGCCCCACTTAATGTTCGCTGGGTTCATCTCGTTAAACACACGAATGGGCTTGCCATTCACAAAAATATGCTTCTCATCGTGCGAAATCTCACCGTCAAAACGACCGTGGACCGTGTCATACTCAAGCATGTACTCCATGTATGTCGTCGTGATGAATGGGTCATTGATAGCCACAATGTTGATCAGCGGGTTTGTAGCAGCAGTGCGTAGCACCAGCCGACCGATACGGCCGAAGCCATTGATGGCAACGTTCACAGCCCCACCGACATTGTCCGTCGGGTTTTGGGCGTTAATGATCTTCAGGAAGTCGGGCTTTAGTGAAGCACCACCAACAAGGAAGCCGTCAATATCCTCCTTTTGCGAGAGCTCGGTAGCGTTTGTGGCACCAACTGATCCACCGTAAATGACGCGAGTCTTTTCAGCAGCATCAGGTGAGACCTTCTCCTTAAGCCAAGCACGAATGCTAGCATGTGCCTCCTGTGCCTGCTCAGGTGAGGCCGTGAGGCCCGTGCCAATGGCCCAGATGGGTTCATACGCGATGACAACATTCGTCCAGTCCTTGATCTCGGCAGCGTACGCGTTGAGTTGCTCGGTGATGTAAGCCACCGTCTGGTTCGACTCGCGATGCTCCTTGGTCTCACCAATGCAGGCAATGACACCGAGGCCCTTCTCTAGTGCGTACGCAGCCTTCTTGGCCACAATCTCATTGGTTTCCCCCTTCTCGCGACGTTCACTATGACCCACGAGCGTGTACTCGGCACCCAAATCCTTGAGCATTTCAGCCGACGTTTCGCCCGTGAAGGCGCCACCGCCTTGCGTCCACACGTCTTGGCCACTGACGCGCACGTCTGCGCGCAGAGACGCTTTGACTGTGGCAGCGTGCACCTGGGAAGGCGCGACCACCACCTCGACGTTGGATGGGATCTTGGCCGTGTTGAGCATCCCCACGAGCTCTTGCGCCTGGTGCAGCGAGCCATTGCACTTCCAGTTGCCGCCCACGAAAAACTTGCGGGAGCTGCGGGCGCTCATGTGACGCACTTGCGTCGTGAACACTTGACGGAATGCCATGAGGGATCGAAGATCGGGTCAAAGCAGGGGAATCGACTGACGTGTGTCGTGGACAGCAAATTCGGAAATGAGAGGCAATGGCGCGAGCGCTCTGGCTGTGTGGGGGTCCGTCCGTCTGCGGTCGAAAGGAGGGGAAAAACCTCGATTGCTAAGCTGGGAATGGACTTGCCATGCACATCGACACGACACCGTCGCGGCTATGTGCTGAAGCTGCTTGGTGTCAACTGCAGTTTGGTTGGTTGTTGGCTCGGCTATTTATAGCCGTGACGTCGATCGGGGGTACATCAACGCGCGATACAAACAGCAAGTGTAACTGCGACCGGTGCTACGTGTCACACGCAACGTTGGTCGTATGTGAACGCAGCACTTCTCTCACTTGAATGCAGTCGATTGCAATTGAGCGTTCACGATTAAATACAAAGTGCTTTTAGTCGTGTAAATGAACCTTATCGTTAGTGTATCTATATGAGACATCATCTCCTCGCTCGCTTTCTGTGTACCGAAATGAACTGCCATCCCAGCGGCATCAGTAAAAGCTGCCGGCCACCTTGTTGCACTCGGGATCCACAGGCTTCGTCTCATGAAAGAGGTTGAAGTCAATCACAGCACCACCAGTATCCGGATCCACATCCACGCAATTCACATGGCGGTGGTTAAATCTAATGTCCTCCGCCTTGTATGAATGCCGTACCTGGATCGTTGCCGACGTGACGGCATCAATGCCTTCGACAAGCACCACCACTTCCATCTGAGACCAGAAAGACAAGATACACGTCGTTAGGCTTCACAAAGGAGCTAGCGATCAAAGCGTTTGTTCGTACCTGAGACTCGGCCCAATACTGCTTGATCTCTTCGATAGTCGGTGGCTCCGTTGCAGCGTGCACGTCACTCACAGCGACATTGTTAGTCACGCAACGGCACGTGTTGTGCTCTGACTTTGTAGCAACTTGTACGGACCCGTCGCGGTCTCCACTTTGGGCATCGGCCGCGCGGCATAGAGGCTCTGGAAACAGATAGCCTCTAGCGGGATTGTGGTGGAGAGCGCAGGCATCAGCACTCGTTGGCCGCAGCAACGGACTCCATGCATCCATCCGGTGCACGACTACCGAAGGAAGCGCTAGCAGCAGCATGCCACCAAGATCGTCATCTGGATGCTGGATGCGCATCGGGTACGACTGAAAGTAGTACCGCTCGCCAAACTCCACGTCGTGTCGGATTGCATACATACGCACATGTGCTTCCACGAGCTGATGTTTGCGCATCTCACACACTTGAAACATGAAGTAGAGGTCACCACGAATTCGACGCGCACAGGCATGGGTGCTCATTACAATGGTGTTTGCACGCGCCTGAGCACGCGAAAAGCGCTGGAAAATAATTCCAATGGCCAGTGCATCTAGTAATATGCCGCAAAAAGACTCGAGCGTGATAATCGTCTGTACCCAGACACACTGGCCAAAAAACACGTCTCCGCCGTTGGTGCCGAAACCAATAGTAAACAGCACTGACACGGAGAACGAGAAACCACCGAAGAACGAGCTGATGGCGAGCTTGCAATGGTCCGGTGGCGTCATATACAACGCGCCGAACAGGACGATTACAACGATATACTGCATCCGTCGCCAACAAACAAATAAAGACACACGCACAAAGTACATCCAAAAAGTAACATCAAAAGAAGTCAGTGTCTTGCGTCACGCAGCAATAATAAACCTCAGCCACTCGTCGTTACTACGCACCGCAAAGACGAGCGATCCAAGCACTTTGCTCAGCCGCATGTTGACCACAGTGTGGAACGGATCCTGCATGTACAGCTTCCAATAGTGAGGCACCTTCTGACGACGAATGCTAAAACGAGAAGAGTCATTGAAAAAGCACCACATCAAATACAATATCAGTATCCCCGTTCGTCTCTCCACTCGTCATGGCTACATCAATAACTACGAGACAGTTGATCACGTACTTCCACTGTCCCTTGGAGCGCTTGAACATCTGGTCCTTGCGGTCCATGATCCGACCCGTGACTGTGGGCACATTAATCCGCTTCACCAGTCCCTTCGAACTTGGTACTGGCTGCCCATTGTCTCCAGACTCAGGGACGACGTCCTCGTACTCGGTGTAGCTCGGTCCACGCTCCATCTTCATCGCTGCAAGTTGCTTGTAGCAGCTCTCCAAAGCACTTGCTTCTTGTGACGAGCTCTTGACGAAGACGAAGGTCAAATGCACGGCAACGACGAGACTGTGAAGCGTAGCGGACGGTCGGTGAGATGTAGTCAATTGTAACGTCTCGAATAGTGGACTCAAGTGGACGGGTGCCGAAAAAGACTACTTTTCAGTCAGGGACAAGACTTTTTGACTTTTATTTTCTACAAGTACCGGACAACTGGGTGAAATGCGGAAGAGAAAGGATCAAAAGCGTATAACGTAGACAAAATATTTCGGCGCAGCGCTTGGTATGAAAAAGCAATTTTATCTGAAGATACTACTGACGATTCGACCGTTACGATGAGCCAAGCTGTGTAGAGAGATTATTAAAGTGTGTGTTTTTTAGCATTTGCTAGTGTAATGTGATATCTCGTGGCTTGTCGCTGCAATTCAACGGATTCGTTACAATATTCACAACCTCAAGTGTGTGGAATGATAAAACGCTCCGATGGGTCTGGTGAAAAGGAAAACTGATGGGCTGTGGCTTCGTTGTTCTGGTAAGCAGTCATCCTTGTAGAGACAATAGCTTCGCAACTGGCGATATTTGGCGTGATTCCTCATATTCATTCAAGCGTCATAATTTGTCGTTATGCGTCAGGATTGGAGGGCGAAAAAGGCACACTGGTGTAACAGACCTGGTGCCAAGGTTTTGAGCTGTGCAAATGCGGTAGATGGAGGACAGTTGTGTGGAAGTGAGGGAACGTCTATCCACCTCGTTTAGTCCGATCTCCTGAACTCATTGTATCATCGAGTCGTAGTCAGGAACCCTCGACACCATGCGTACGAGTGTGTGGAGCCCAGAATTGCATGGCTTCTGGTAAACACATACTAGCACAAGAAATGTATGCGTTTCAGATGCTAACGACAGCTGTAAAGCAGCCGGCTGGGACATTTACGCATGTCGGAGAATAGAAAGCTCCGCTTTTTCCACCGAATATCTTTCGAGGTGGGCCCTTCTTACCCGCACGGGGGTTACAAAGAGTAGTTTAACATACACTTCATTCCATTCGCAGAGCTCGGTATGTAACACCCCACACTGTAGTGCTTAGTACGCTACTTTTCTGTCGGCAAAGATGAAGTGCGTCGTATACGATCCGATTCGCACTTGCTTTGCCTTCCTCGCTCACAATGTCGTTAATGAGTCCTTTAAACAGTTGTCGTTCGCGTAACAATACCCTCGTAAACGTCTGCTGCTCGTTTCGAAAGAAATCGAGGCTGTTCGAGGTGGTTCCATGAGTGTCACCGTAAAAACGAACTGGCCTCGGAAGCATATCCACAGGGCGACCAGCGTGACTCAATCACCCTTCACAAAACTGCAGCGTCGTACCGCACACGCTTACAGATTCAGGTGAGCCACCGATTCGATGACATCGAGCAACTGTTCTTTCCTTCGCAACGACACACGCTATTTCTCTTAGCAGGTAATGTTTACCTTGTTTAGGCTCCGGTCTAATCCATTTTCATGCAGCCAGTATTTCATCCCACTGAGCTTTCGTTTTGTTGACCCGAATTTATCATAATCGCGGTGTGTTCATTTCTCACCACACCATTAACAAAGAAAGTGTCTTAGTCTACTTGTCCATCTTACTTGCGACCAGCTTAGTGTTGCACCCATGCTTTCGTTATCCACAATTTATCTCAAACAACTGCGTCTACAAGCACCAAACCAAAGTGTAGAGTAAGAAAGCGTCTAGCTCCTCACGAACGGTCGTAACAGAGTTACGTGCTTTTCCTCCACTATTCTGCTCTACTTCGACATGCGTGGCATGGACAAAATGAGTGGTACATGCAGTTAGCAATGCACAGCGTGATTTCAATGCTTCATTTGTTCGTTTTGATCCACTGTTGCGACGAGAGCAGCGAGATGGAGTAGCATAAGCCGGAAGACCAGTTTTTTTTTATACATCAGTCAGACGTGGGAGCAGGTACAAAACGCCCGATTCGCAAAGTATAAGACTGCTAGCTGCATGTTGCCGTAGTCACTGCTAGATCGTCTATGCAGCGAAATTAAGCTTACAATGAGAGAGAAGGTGGGTACAAGTAAACTGGACTAGTCCAGCTTGCAAACACAGCATCAGCCGTTACCTCGATGCGACTTAAGCTGTATCGGGGTTGCACGTAGATGGGTACTTTGTACCAGGTGTGTCACACACCTGATGGTACCCCTAGGAAGGTGATATAAAATATCTTATAGGGGTTGTAGAGGCTGACAAGTGTCATCCATTAGGTACGAAAGATCTTTGAGTAGGATTAAGATATTCTATAAGTTTTAACATTAAATAAATCAGTTCCCATTTTGATCCAAAGGACACGTCGCTTGCGAGCCGTCTTGATCGTTGATCACTGATCACTAAGAGTTAGCAACACCTCCTTGAGGTAGCTACTCTTGAGCACTGAGTGCTGTCGATTCACTGAACCGTTAGGTTGTCTGGAACAGGGATCTGAAGCTGTAAAGCTTGTTGACTCGTAGAGTCGTTAGTTCTTTAGAACTAAGTTGCTCGTAGAGCGTTAAGCCTTCCTCTGACTTTAGGAGCTGTGCAGCTCGGCTACACTTGGTAGCACTTGTAGTCAATGTACGCCTGAGTCTTTAAGACTGATCCTCTGTGAGGATGGGAAACCCCACTCCCCTCTCTGAGGCCCAAAGGGTCACGCTTGATAAGCTGACCGCATCTTTGGGTCAAGAGTACGTGGAGTTCCTTGATTCACAAGGTCCTGAAGTTCTTAATGCACGTATTGAAAGCTTCATGCAGTATGAAACGACCCTTTTAGGGCAGGTCCAAGACCAAGTAGCGTCGGCTATGCCTACACGCTATGTGTCTGTACCAGACGGAGAGGCTATGACTCTTCCAATTAAAGTGGAAGTGGAAAACTACTCCGGTAAAGAGGGTGAAAACCTCATCCTCTGAATCCGTTAGATTGAGATGGCCATGAGATCAGGTCTGATCACGCTTGACCATCAACAGGTCTCGCTAGCTATATCGAAGCTCGATGGAAGAGCTAGAGAATGGGCCTTGACGTGTAGCACGTCGGTGGACATAGCATTTCCCTCATGGGAGTCACTCAAGTCACAATTGGTACAGGTGTTCTCACCACCTAACCAGGCTTACCGCGTGCGTTCACGCTCTTTTTTCTACCCTCCAGAGTAAGAATGAACTATCGGACTATGTCCAAGAGCTGCAAACGCTCATGGCTGCAATGCAGTCTGACCCTCTGCCTGAGGCAATCCATGTGACTATCTTCATAAAAGGTCTAAGTTCTGGCATTGCCAGAACCGAGGTTTTTCGGGTTCACCCCTCTATTTTTGAAGAGGCTGTGAGAATTGCTTTTAATGCTGAGCATAACTTCAAGTCGGCCAGACTTGGTTGGATCGGGTACAACCCTCGCTCTGTGAGAGCAAACTCTTTGGGTATCATTGCCTATAATAGGCCGGCTTCAGCTATGCTGAAGATGAAGAAGCTGAGCTTCAAGCTGCGGAGCAGCAACACGTCGTACGCCGATGTTTTACATGCGGAAGCACTTAACACTTGCGGCCTGGTTGCCCTTTGCGTAAGCAACGCCAGGCTACAAGCCAACACTCGACCCCGAGTCAGAAGTCTGGCATGGCATGGGAAAATGCCGACACCCAGTAGGCGCGGGGCGCCCTACTGGGGAAGAACTGAGTTCTGTTACTCCTTTAGAAGGTAAAGGAAGGCAGGGCTTAGCCCCAAAAAGTACCATACCTACGGATATGGTGCGTGGATACAAGTCCGGCTTGTTGGTCACCGGGGCGATAATTAAGGGTTTTGAGAAGCCTTGGTCGATATTAATCGATTTTGGAGCGTCTTGCAGTTATGCTCGACGCCGTCCTCTTGAGGGAAGTCAGCGTTATGCTGAGGCGCTTACAGCGCATGAGGGTGATTCTATCACGGTTCGTTTAGCGATTGGAAGTCGCGTAACTGTGCCTAAAGTTCCATTGAACTTAGGTATATAGTTTTTAGACTTTGACAGTATCGATCGCTGTCTTGATTTTAGACCTGGATGCGAGGTATGACCTCATCCTAGGCATGGCATGGCTAGAACGTCATGAGCCATGGATTGATTGGAGGTCGAAGACCTTAGGCGCAACGCGCAATGCTCCTGGCGGGGTTCTGGAGAGTCATGAACCCACCTCTGCTAGGAAGCAAAAGCGCTTTTGGCACGAGCCTTTGACAGAAGATGTCGATGTGCTGGATATTGAAATGTCTGAGCTATCTAACTCCAATAATACCAACATAAGTTTCGAGTATAGATTGTCTAGTGAAACGGCACGTACTCCGTTGAGTGTTACTCGTTGTGATAAAGAGCCACTGCATACTGAAATCATGGTTGGCCTAGGGCCGAGTGGTCAAGGATGTGATTCCTTTGATGTGTGTGTGGTGGCACGTGAAATTACACCGAGTGCGGTCGGCCGTGAGAGCACCGCACTAAATGTCGGTAATGACATTGTTGGCCATATGCCATTTAGTGTGAGCGGCCGTGAAGGCACCACGCTTAACGTCGGTAATGGCGTTGTTGGCGATTCGCCGTATAGTGTGGGCGGCCGTGAGGGCACCACACCTAATGTCAGTAATGATATTGTTGGCGATACGCCGTATAGTGTGGGCGGCCGTGAGGGCACCACACCCAATGTCGGTAATGATATTGTTGGCGAGACGCCGTTAAATTTAGGGCTAGACCCGCATAATACACGTGGAGTGGCACGTTTCAATCCACTGGGTGAAGTGTTCGAATTATGTAACACTTCACCGGATGTCGGCCAAGACATAAGCTCTCGTATAGAGCGTGCTACGGTTAGTAGTAACCATGGGGACAATATTGTCCCGACTTCTCAGGGGTTTATGGTATCGAAGAGACGATCGAGACGCCGGGTAGCAACTGTAAAGCGCCAGGCGTCCACACAGTCACATAGTAATAATTGTAATACACTGTATACACTTGTTAATGGAGTGACTGGTCAGGTTGATGGGAGTGTTTGCCTTGAAACCCTTCCATCTTGGACGCTCTTTGTGAGCTAGACGAAATGCCGGATGGCGAGTTTAGCCAGGCCTTAAAGGCAGGAGAGTTATCCGAATTCGCGGGCATGAGACCTGAAACTGAGTTGAACTCTTCCTCGTTAATGGATGAGTCTGTCCTAGAGGATGCTAAGGCGGCACTCAGTGCACGAAGTGGATCTTTGATCCTTAAAGATCCTTTGGAACGTTCTATCCTTTAGTTAGGGAATTTCAAGATGTGGTGTGTCACAACCCACCTTCTGCCTTACCTCCGGATAGAGGTGTACGTCATGAAATTGACTTGGTTCCAGGAACCAAATACTGTGTGACGCGACAGTGGCCGCTGCCACGAGAACAATGTGACGTCATTGACGAGTTCTTTTGTGCAAAGCACGCGGATGGAATGGTGCGTGAGAGTAAATCTTCCCATTCAACACCAACATTTTGTGTGAAGAAGCCTAATGGGAAGTGGCGAATTATGCATGCTTACAGTAAGCGTAATGCAGCCACTATCCCGGCTCAAACGCCGATTCCTCGCAAGGATGTTCTTCAGAACAATATGGTGGGATGTACAATGTACAGTGCCCTCGACTTAGTCGATGGATATTACCAACTTCTCATGCAAGCTAGTGATATCCCACTGACAGCGGTCAGCACTCCGAGCGGTATACTCTGGGAGTGGTTAGTGATGCCCCAAGGGCTATCTAACGCCCCGGCTACGTTTAACCGGCTGGTAACGCAACTGTTCAGACCTCATCGAGGCTATGCACAAACGTGCTTTGATGACATTTTTGTCCATAGTCGTGCAATGAATGAGCGATCAGATGTGGATAACCACGTTGATCATTTACGAGCGGTGCTCGAGTGCATGCGGACAAATTAGTTGTATGCTAACGCATCGAAGTGCATCTTCGGTGCAAAAGAGATTCCCTTTCTGGTATGCTTCATTGGGAAGCGAGGCCTTTGAGCGGAATCCGCTAAGGTGAAAGCCATAGTGGATTGGCCGGTTCCGAGGAACCAAAAGGCCTTACGTAAGTGGCTTGGCCTTGCCAATTACTTACACAAGTACAGTGCAAATTACGCAGATATGGCTCGGCCATTGTCCAATCTCCTTAAAAAGGATGTGGAATGGTGTTGGAACACCGAACATAAGGCTTTTAAAGCCATTAAGGAGAGTCTCCTTCAGGCGCTAATTCTGGCTTTGCCCGATACTGGTCGTCCTTTCAGTGTCGTCTGTGACGCATCTGACTTTGCTATAGGTAGTGCTCTGTTACAAACAGATGTCGACGGACGCGAACGCGTCATCGCGTTTGAGTCTCGCCAGCTGAAAGCTGCAGAGAAGAACTATCCAGTTCATGACAAGGAGCTACTTGCGATGAAGTATGCCCTTGTTAAGTTCAGGGTACACCTGTTGGGCTCAAAGCCGTTTGTGATCTATACAGATCATGCGTCATTACGCACAGCGACACAGTCGCCTCATCTCTCGCAGAGAATGGCTCGTTGGCTCTCCTTTTTTGCGGAGTATAACTTCGAGGTGAAGTATAAGCCGGGAAAACAGAATGTTTTGGCTGACGCGTTATCGCGTAGACCTGACTATGAGCTTGCTCATCTTACGATTCTGTCGTCGTCAGTCACTGACTTAATCCGTGCGAAAAATGCCAAGGATGATCAGTGTGTAGCTTTGCTACGTGCTCTTGGGAGCGATGAGCTTAAAGACTCGGACATAGAATTGTCGGTACGTATACGTGCGAGGCTACATCGATATTCCATCGATCAGGGCCTGTTGTGCTATCGCACGGATATTGAGGATAAGCCATGTATCGCTGTGCCTCTTCATGAGGGATTAAAGTATCGAATCGTCTATGAGACACATGATACTGTTTAAGTTGTCATCTCGGTCGTGAGAAAACTTATAGCTCGGTGAGCCAAAGTTATTGGTGTCCCAAACTTTATAAGTGGGTGAGCACCTATGTGCGTACGTGCGAAACGTGTCAACGGGTTAAACCCTCAGCGCATGCGGTGGCGCCGCTGGCTAATTTGGCAGTACCCACTGGTTGTTGGGAGTCCATAAGCATAAATTTTGTGTTTGGCCTACCGAAAGATTCGGAAGGCAACACTGAAATTGTGGTCTTTGTTAACCGATTAACCAAGATGGCTCAATTAGCGGCTGTGCCGGATAGCATCGATGCAGAAGGTACAGCAAAGCTGTTTATCTACCGTGTGTTTCGCCAACATGGCTTGCCGGAGGCAATTATCTCTGAAAGAGACCCCCGCTTTACGGGAAAGTTTTGAAAGTCTATCTTCAAGGTGCTGGGCACTCGGTTATACATGTCCACAGCGGATCACCAGCAGACCGACGGTCAAACTGAGCGTGTTAACCGCGTCATCAATGACTTTTTGCGCAGTGTTTGCACTGATACCCCTAGGCGTTGGAGCTCAATTCTCCCTGTTGTTGAGTTTGCGTTGAATAACGCTGTTGATGCCTCAACAGGCTTTACTCCGTTCTATATAAACGGTCTCACTCACCCTCGCGTTCCGTTAGCGCTATCACTACGCGATTCAGGGCTTGGTGGGGGAGAGGTTGCCGATCGGCTTGCTGATATCAGCCCTGCTACTGTCCAAAAACAGGTAAGCGAGTTTCTCGCAACGCGATTAAATGTCTTAAGACATGTGCGTGACGCAATGGCTGATAGCCAAGATACCCAGAAACAACAAGCTGATGCCAAAGGCAGAAATTGTATTGAACGTTATAAGGTCGGAGACCAAGTACTACTCAATGCTAAAAAACCTACCTACAAATGTAGTGTCTGCTGTCTTTAAGACGAAGTTGCGTCCACGCTTTATTGGACCGTTTACGGTCACGGCCAAGAAGGGACTTGCGTATACGCTAAACCTTCCGCGCAAATTGCGCACACATCCAGTGTTCTACGTAGGCTTACTTAAGCCGTACCGGGATCCTTCCCATGTGAACTTGGAGGCGCTTGCGCCGACGACAAGGGCACTGCCCCGGATTGCTGTAGACGAATCAGCAAGTCCAACTGAGCCTCGCTCCGAGTTTGAGCTTGCTCCATCGCCTGAAGGCGGCTTTGCATCGCATCCAGCATGCACTGGGTCTTAACCGAGTTCTCTTGAAGACCCTTAATATCTAGAACCAATTTCTCGTGGGCCTCCACGGGTACACCGGCATCCGCCAAATTTGCTCGATGAGCATGGGTGTCGTCAGTTTCATGTCGAGAGACTATTGAAACGACGTCGTCGTCAGGGCCAATACCAGTATCTGGTAAAGTGGTGAGGGTACCCTGAGTTTGAAAACTCATGGGAGTTTGGATACCCCTTCGGCAAGACTGCCCTCATGCTTTGGATGCTTCCGAGCATCGTGGTCAAGGTCATCTCGAGACCGAGGCCGTTTCCCACCACTACTGGTGTAGGTTGGCGGGTTGTTGGTCACAGACTAACCAGCACTTGCGGCTTCCGTAGTAGTCGAAGCATAGAGCGTGCGCTTGCTCAATTGGCCTCTGGCCTTAAGCTTGGCATAATCCTACCGAAGCTTGCGTTCGAGACGCACATCAGCCACATTGACACTAGCCCTTGAAGCAAACATATTGCTGAGGCGACGTACATGGTGCATCCAGCGAACGAAGGCATCGTCCTCTTCGATCACTGTTTCGCCTGCGAACAAGAGAATGGGTGTACCCTTGATCGGTGGAACCGGTGCACCACGTGCTTGTATGTCAAGGCGTGTCTTGTATTGACTATAAGTGGTTAGGTGCGGCTCCAGGTACCTCTCAAGAAGTGCCTGGCAGCTCACCACCTCCTTAGGAGTCTTAAGCCCATGGCCAATGACATAAGTCGCCAATGTTTGGCCGGCCGCTTGACGTAGACGTTCCTCCACACTGGGTAGGGTGAACACATAGTCACGCTGGCGCTGAAAGGTTGCACCCATTTGTGCATGACGCTGAGTGTTTTCTTCTTGTTGGACAAGCGATTGTTGTTGCTCATCGAGCGGGTTCGTGATGAAAGTTTCATCAGAACCAGGTGTTGAATGCTGCGCCAGTGGCGCGCTCGCATCTCCACGTTCAGAGAACGGACATAAATATTCGAAGGTTGTGCCTCAGACATCGGTGAGTCGGACATTGTCCCTGTATCACCCTGGACACTGGTATTGCTACCATATTCCACTTCCTTCTCTATTCCGAGATAGACACACAGAGTCTTTGACTCGTTTGGTGATGAGAACATCGTGCTAGAGCGTACGCTGCCATGAGGTTTCTGTACGCGCACTGTTCTCGCCAAGGAACACAAGTTCGATTGACGTTTTGGTAAACGTCAGTCTGGTGGGGAGGGTGTAAAGGGGTTGCACGTAGAAGGGTACTTCGTACCAGATGTGTCACACACCTGATGGTACCCCTAGGAAGGTGATATAGAATATCTTGTAGGGGTTGTAGAGGCTGACAAGTGTCATCCATTAGGTACGAAAGATCTTTGAGTAGGATTAAGATATTCTATAAGTTTTAACATTAAATAAATCAGTTCCCATTTTGATCCAAAGGACACGCCGCTTGCGAGCCGTCTTGATCGTTGATCACTGATCACTAAGAGTTAGCAACACCTCCTTGAGGTAGCTACTCTTGAGCACTGAGTGCTGTCGATTCACTGAATCGTTAGGTTATCTGGAACAGGGACCTGAAGCTGTAAAGCTTGTTGACTCGTAGAGTCGTTATTTCTTTAGAACTAAGTTGCTCGTAGAGCGTTAAGCCTTCCTCTGACTTAAGGAGCTGTGTAGCTCCGTTACAGAAGCTCTGTGGTCATCACTAAAATAAATGTGGATGTTGACGTCCCTCCCTCTCGCAGATCGTCATGCTCGTAAGTGAAAAACGCCGTTTCAATCTTGATGTGGACGTGTGTCACCGTTGCACTTGATACGTCGATCGACGAAGGCGTCACGCAAAGTGTGCTAAGCTTAAGCAGCCGAGGGATGTCCGATACCTTCTTTGCAAGATCAGACTTTCCTACAGACAATCACTGTTGAAGCTTGGTCGGCCTGATCATTCAACCTACTAGCCTTTGTCTACTCGGGCCATATCGAATCTGCTGAGGTCGTTTTAGCACCCACTCCTAGCGACGAGCAAAGTATCCGTTCGCAGATGCTTAGATAGATGCGCTGGCCTTCAAACAGGCAATTTTAGTACATAGAAGTACACGTGTGGCATTGTCTTTTTGTGCATGTGGACTTACGCGACCGGACCATGAGCATCGTAGATGCTTGTCAGATGTTATTGGATCCTGCAATGTAACGCTGTCTTGGCTGCTAAAACAAACGAAGTTTGCCACAAAGTTGATGCGGTCTCAATTGCAACATTGTTAATAGTTTCTGAGCTACCACTGCGTAACCCGTCAATTACCGAGCTCAGACATTGCGCTCGTACGGACTGCGCTCGTACGGACTAAAAAAAAGCACTTCGGCTGGCGAATTTATACAAACGTGCAAAGTTTAAAGCCCCACTTTCACCTGCGTACGTAGTATTAAGGACAAAGAGAAAAACAACCCTTGAGATGAGGTTGTACGACGACATTGCTCACGCGGATTATTTTTTTGGATGCTACCTGTACGTCGTCAGTACAATCATGTGATGATTTCTCAGCCCAACGTGGGGAATGGCAAGACAGCTTGTCACGTTCCACTAAACAGCCGGTTGGTCCGGCTAATGGAATGGTTTAAGCTTTGGAAGGGGATAAATCGCAGTTATTAAAAAACATCACGAAGCAGAAAGTAGAGCCAGACTAAGCAAATTACAAAATAGGCGTTTTATGCGCGAATGCAGAACACAGATGGTAACCTATTTTGGCTGTAACTTAACACCAATTACAGCAGGCCTCATAGGTGTACGTATTGGCACAAATCCTTATGAATATCCACTAACTAATGGTTACGGTCATCTACAAATTATGTGGCTGGAATAGTTCAATATCCCGCGGTTCGCACAGATCGGATTGCGAACCGGCCTGCACCATTGGTACATGAAACAGCGCCGTTCACGTCGTCGTTGACTCGCTAGTATGTCGATAAAGAATGTCACGCCCTTTCACCCTTTCCAATGCCTAAAAACGGACTGATGGTCGCCGAGGAGGCCAACAAACACGTCACGTCGGTGCGCTGTAGCTTCTGTGCCTTATGCATCCGAACTAATGTCAAAGCTGGTGACGAGCACGCAGGCGAAAAGCGCAAGCGCAACTCTTGCAAAGACACCAAGTACTGGACGAAGTTCGTGCCGCAGAACTACCGCAGTCGCCATGAGTCCCAGCGTACGGATCTATGGACAGAGTACACCGCACTGTACAAAGAGGAGAATAGCGTGTATTTTGATGGCAAGGCGAATCGCGCTAACAGTCTACACCGGCGCTTTGACTTCACTCCCGACTTGCCGGCGTTCCGCGTGTCGGCGCCCATTGTCGACGTCATCATCGCCGACCTGTTTTTCCGGCCCAACAAGGTGCTCGACGACGAGAGATGAGGACGATGGCGGCGCGACCGCTGCAATCGCCAGAAAGGCTACCGCCAAGGCCAATTAAAAGAATATGGCGCTGAAGCTGTTCGTCTCGGAGTTTGAGAACGTGGAAAACTATGTCGTCACTTACAAGGGCACGATGCGATGCAAGTTGGCCATGGATCAGTTCTCAACAAGAAAGTCGTTTCAGCAGTTTGCGTCCGGGATGAAGCTTACCAAGGAGCGCTGCGGCCTGTCCAAGCGAGGATGCATGAGCGTTACCATCGTTGGCCAGTCATCCGCTCTGGCGTCGCGTTCGCCCTGCATCGCGTTGTCGACCTGTGCGTCGACGAGTCGATCTGGGTGCTATCACACGCACGAGACGGCAGTACCCACCGCGGCCAGCACTTCTTCGACCTGCGCCTACGCGTGTCCTACCGCGGCCTCCTGCTAACTCTTTGCCTTGTGACCTTCCCCTCGGTTTGATAGCCGCACGGCGCTGAACATATTTCTACATGCTGGTAAATTTTCCGGACACGCTGTAGGGCCTCTGGCGCCACAATATGATTAATGTCGGCACTGACGGTGAGCTGATCATGGTCGGGTGCTCTACGGCCTGGTGACGCGCATGGCCCGCGAGTATAAGGACCACATTCTGCGCATATGGTGCCCGCCACACCAGATGGACATCGTCGTCGAGAATAGACCCGAGATACTTTATGATGGGGAGTGGTTCAATCAGACGTGGTCGCCGCCAGTCTATCTGCGCTCTCAGGCGAATCTAATCACGCGCGTGAAGGTGAGATGACCCAAAAAAACTAACGGTGGGTTAGCCCCGGCCGTTCATCAACTTTCTCAAGCAGTTACGCCGCATTATCATTGAGCACGTAACGGCCAATGCCAGCGATAAACTGTCGTCAGCTTAATGTCGGGTCATCGCTAAAGTGATCGCGCCCGCCCTCGAGAAGATCATCAATACGTGTGTTATGTCGCAGATCCGATCGGTGCTGATCGCGCAGCAAGAATCACTCATTCAGACGCTCTTCGCCACTATGCTCGCGATGTTTGGCATCGTCCACGACGACGATAAAGACGCCGACAACAGCGACGACGAGTTCGATACTTTCGAGCAGTGACGTATCGAGCGGGCTGAACTCGTCCGCTACGTCAAGGACAAGGGATAGTTCCCCCAGTCATGATACGAGAGCCTGTACGTGTCCTCCTAGAAGGAGGTCATAATCCAGCCCGCCAAGTACGCCATTGTTGAATGTTGTCGCGTCGAACTTAGGTACTTGTGTGCGAAGAGGTAGAAGTAGAAGTGAAAATATCAATGTTTTATCTTCGCTCGCTAACATTATAATATAAACGTGTACCGCAACATGACTTCAACACGATTGCGTCCGCCTTTCCTCTTATCTTGAAGCCGTCGCCGTGTCACCCAACGGTCATGTCGTCACCTCGTCCCGCTTATCTGGTCCATTATCATCTTGCCATGAAACCTGTCACTGTTGTTGCCTCGTCGCATCATCTGTCACTGTCGTAGCCTCGTCTTGTAATCTGTCAAGATGTTTGTTGACTCGACTAATCAGGTGTCACCGTCACATGTTATAGCAGTAAAACCTGTAACATGACAATGACTGGCAGAACGTTTCTAAACAGGCATTTCTAACACTCCTCCTCGGTTTCATCCTGAGTTGTCTTCAACCCGAACATCATGCGCAGTTCCTCCATTCTTGGTGCCGGCAGCGACTTCATCGTCAGGATGTCGGCCATCATGCCTTGGGGCTTGACAAATCTTTGAGCCACGATCCTTTCTTTCGCGTAATTGCAGATGAACTTGAATCTGGTGTTCACGTGCTTGGCGCTTGACGTACTCTCCTCCGACTTGATCTGCTTAATTGCCGCTCAGTTATCCATCCACATCGGCATAGGTTTGTAGACTATCAGCTTTAACTCGTCAAAAGCCCTTTCATCCCTAGCAGCTCGCGTCCAGTGTAAGATGCCGCGATGAATTCTGCCTCCATGGCGCTCAGCGACACACTAGACTGTTACTTACACAACTAAAAAACAACAGAGCCATCCATGGTCAGAATACAACCAGAAACAGAATTACGGTCCGATTTGTCACCCGCGAAGTATGCGTCGCTCCAGCACTCGACTTGCATATCCTTGGAAACCGATCTATCACCGCCCAGATGTAGCTTTGAATTTTTCGACATCTTCAGGTAGCGCATGATCCTTTTTGCGGTCTCCCAATCCTTAATCGTTGGCTTGTGCGTCTGTCATGCGTGTGCATCAACGGTATCGTTGCAGCGTCTTTTTATACGTGCAATCAATATCGAGCGCGTCGCCATAACATCGGGCATATTTTGCAGATGCCAAAAAAGCTAAAAAGAGGTCTGTGAAAATATTAATGACGTCAAGTCTTGCTGCTGCATGCTGCAATCCGTCTTGTAGATGATGAAACAGTACTTCCATGGCTTCTGTTACGCCCAGATTTTCTTTCTTTGTATCACGTATCAGCTTGTAAGCATCATTAATGATTACTAGCAGGCCGTCGTTGCACGGGTACCCCAAAACGTCCCGCAGAATAATTGCTGGCTTTGCACCACGGTTTTAAAGCCTCCTCAAATTGTCAAACACACTTGAATTCCAGATTTTACGTCTTAAAGCAGGTAGTACAGCCTGTTCTTCTTCGCTTGCTTGCGGGTGTCCACGATGCTGGTTGCACGGAGATTTCAACTGATAAGAACCGTTTCTTGACCACATTGTACTACAGCATGGGCAATCAAATCTGAAAAAAGGCTTCCGTCTGCCTGTTGGTGATGATAGAAGCTTTAGTTGATGCCTTTCCCCTTGTACGCATTCTATGCATACTCGATAATCGTCCTGACTTTTGACACGCAAGTCAAATCCATTATGGCTGAGCGTGGGCAAAATTCACACCATTGGTAGCTGCCAATCTTTTATGAACTCTGATAAGAGTTACTCTTGTGGCGTCCAACTCGAAGGTGAGCCTTTAACTTGTTGCAATGCTATTTCGTGACAAAACCCTAGTATAATGGAATTGACATGTTCATTCGTGTTGGCCTTGTAACTTAGATGATGAAAAGGGTACATCCAAGGAAAAAGAGGGTGGAATCATACAGGAAACGGATAAGGAGCAGTTTCACTGTCTGAATTGTGAATAAAGAGGTATCCATAAATCTAGAGAAGTAAAATACTAAGTAATCGTCTTGATGCGGGCATTTTACAAAAATGACCGGGCATTTACGAGTTGCCATTAAAAATGCCTCAAGTAATTAAGAAATTAAAACTTGTCCACTTCCTTGTATACTCCAAAAGGGTGGCACACATGTATCGACAGGATGCTTTGTTGAAGGACGAAATCGATAATAATTACTTTCCGCACGCATAATGATAAGATGCCTGACTTTCTTTACTTCAAGAACTCACCACGTACAGCGTATTATCCATTTTATTTTTAATATCGTTGACATTACCAGATCGGATTAGCTTTTACGTGTGACGTAAAAGCTGTCGTCTTCTACGTTCAGCATGTTCATGTTAAACGGACACTAAGTAGTCGTTGGACGGACTACGAAGTGCTACCAGGTGTAACAGGACACCCTTTGTTTGGGGTGCCACGAAACTTCACATGTAATTATACGTACAGAGGAAGCTTATCTACTTAAACGACTCGTTCGAGTAAAGGTAAAAGGAGAACTGTATTTGATACAGTCAAGTTATCAATATAACTTCAGTCTTTATCTTACTAAATTGAAATGCGTCATAGTATGACGATATCCTACTCACTGCTAATTGCGCGCGTCTAGCAGCAATTGGTGGTAATCTTGTTGATACGTCTTGTTTAACCCAAAACTATAAGCAGCGCATGAATAGCATTTTAATATTAGATAATGTTCCTTCTAATTATCCATCTCAGATAACATGGATAAGGGATTGTCACGCTGAAAAATCTTCCTATCGACACCTGTACATATCACGCATAAAGATTCCCCGTTACACCCAACGTCAGCAAGGCATTTTTTACCCGACGTCTTCTGTCCATCTCGAAGGACAGTGAGCTCCGGCATAGCTCACCATAGGGCATAGTTGATGCGATTTGACGCTGCATATGTAGATAATGAGCATGGATATGTCATGGCAATCCCGCAAAGGCGTTTCTGGCGACAAATGATCAATCGATGCAAAGTACGCAACGGAACACAAAAGCCTGTAGGTCGTCAGCTTGTCATCGAATGTAGACTCACTATGAAGATACAATCAGTGCTGTCAGGCATCCAACTAATAGGCATTGGTCTGTATTGACTCGTGAGGCATGACTATGTTACAGGTTCTTGCTTCCGTTGCTTCCGCGGAAGAAAAAATGCAGGAGCGTACTACTATTATAACCGACTCATCTACAGTTCGATTAAATTTGGCAAATGCTAAGCGACTGGGTTCTTATTTTCGGCTGGAACTAATCTGTACAACACCACTGAAGTGTCGCCATTCGCATTGACAAACCCTTTATAAATTAGTAAATTGAGAGTCGAACAGAAACAATAAATTCATGTTCGTCTATCTTAAGCAAAAATATGCGCTGTGATGATATAGTGTACGAACAGGAAGCAAATGCCGATCAAACAACAAAAACAAATATAGCAGTAGCACTATAGTACAAAAATCGCTACAAAGCAGTTGTAACACCACGAATACTAACAGCAGTAGCAAGAGCAGAAGTAATAAAGGAGTAGTAAAGCAGCAGAATTAATATATAAATTAGTACAAACAACAGCAAATGCAGCAACACCTAAAACAATGACATCATCAGCATTACCACCATCACCCTTACCACTAGCACCACCAGCAGCATCAGATCTCATTATAACTGACAAAAACAACGGCTACAGCGACAGTGATAGCAATAAAACGATACGAACAACTGACGCAAAGTAACTATTGTAAAAATAGTAACATCAGAAGCAATAACAACAATAATTCGGACAAAAGAAAACTGTGCTATTAGTAATAGCAGAAAAGGTCACGGTTGTCTACATTACGGCATGGGCCGACGATATAAAGACCCGTTCACATCTTACTGTGCCGTCCGCGACCAAAACGGGTGGCTGGGTACGCAGCACGCCCGCGGCAGAACCCCTCCACGGCTCACCCTACAGAGCGGGGGTCGGGTACAGCCGTGTTCAATGGAAATTAAAATAGGACTTAATAATGGTTTTTTAATTTGTGTACCTCGTTGATTGAGTGTACATGGACGTGACTCATTTTAGTGGGATAATCGCAAAAGATGAAAGTATTTGAATGTTTTAAAAAACGTGACACGACATGTATAAAAATGAATTTATTCTAGTTTATGACACGGCTGTAAACGAACTTAAAGCTAAAACCCGAGTGATGCTGCCCTTCGACTTTTTAAGATCTACGCAGCTATACAACAGAAAGATGTGTAATCTTGCTATCAGCACGTCAAACTTTGGATAAAAAAGGACGTACAGTCATTTCTCGAGCTGAAGTAAAAATTTCAGCTATAGCCTAAGGAAACCAAAATGTACACCGTAGTCGGCAGTGAAGACCACCTCTCCCTCGTTTGTCGTTTCACTCAGCCATACAATCAGAGACCAGTTGATACGACCCCAATTAATTGCTAATGCGGGAATAACCTGTGGTTGAATCTCCCGTGACGTCATCTAATTGCGGCGCTCATCTCGAGAAAGAGACTTTTTGAGTTAGTAGTGACAGCAGTTCAGTGCTACCAAGTCACAATTTATCAAAAGACCGTCGGTTCCATGCTGATTACCGAAGATCAAAGTATTGTTAAAATTCAAGCCGTTTTACAAGTGAAATTTATTCGTCTGGCAGAAAGAACCAAAAAAACTAGCATCAAATCTCGAGGTAAGGAATCCGGTGACTGGGTGCGTAGACCGTACCAGCGTGGGAGGTGTGTATTACTGATACAAACAACCGTACGACATTCATCCTTTCTGAGGCCTAACACTAAAAATGATTTCATTCTCTTTAAATCACACTACGATTATAATTTTGTGACATATGGGACTAAAGGAAATTTGACAACTATTTGACATTGTTAATTTCCAGCCAAGCGTGGTTCCATGTACCTACTGATCACTTAAGTAGCTTAAGGCTGCACGATAAACTAAGATGTATTTAAAATAAAATGTATCCTCTCACATTATGGTAAACTTTAAGATCCTGTCACCTTTATGCAGTTATTCCTTTTTAAACGTCATTATTAAGAATTTTTTTATTTTCCAGTTATTCGAGGATTTTTATTTGTATTCAATGATTTGGGGTACGTTTTTGTTCTTTAATTATCGGGAGCAGTGTATGATTTTTCGTGGTTAATAAGGCATTTCTATTATACCATTGTTAGATCCATTATTGTTTGGGAACCCAAATCTCCCCTCAGTTTTCTGGTAAAATACCCTCAGTTTGATATAATGCTTCTTGATTGGCTACGTTATTAGTATGACTTGCGGTAATTATAACATAATAACCGAATTCAAAAAATCATTTTTCCTTATTCAGTTTTTTTGTAACCGCATTTAAGTGTCCTTCAGCGCAAGATTGTGTTAGATTTGCCAAAACGTTTGCGCACTTGTATCCTCTAAGTCCGCGTATGCTCTCAATCGCTTATTACACCTTAAAGATTAAAGCTTCTACTACAGCAGGCAATCTCCATCAGTCTTATATGCAAAGGTTTGTACGATATTATGTAGAAAGATGTCCCCTAT